CAGGTCAATATCTTATGTATGTTTAAATCTACTTCCTTGTTAAAACAAGGCTTTAATAGAAACACGTTTCAACACTTATTTTCTGCTAGTTGAGTGTGAAAAGGCAACTGTAGAGTGACCCCTTCAGTCATTATTTTATTTTTGCAGAGATAAATAGTTTTAAAAGTCACAAAGTAAGTAATGTACTTTATCAACTTCAAATACCTTGGAAAACACAGTCAAATCCCATATTTGCTTTCTAAAACATGCTAATGTGAAGGTATGAGACAGAAAGAACCACTTGGCAGCCTCTCTCCTACATGCTTCTTTAGCTTAGACATTTCTTAATTCAGTTTTATTTTGTCATACTTGTTCCTTTTTACTGGCAGTTTGTTTAAGTATTTTAAAACCAATAGGTATGAGTACAGTGGGAAATCTAAGGTATGTAGATTCCTAGTGTTTTGTTCTAGCTTGTCATTCCAGCTTTATCAGATTCATTTTGCAATATGCTGTGTCATTTTAGATTTTCTGAAGTATCCAGTATAAAAAGGAGAACAGAATCTTCTAATAGTAGTCTACTGGAAAAAAGTATATATAGTCATGTCTTTTGCATGAAAAATAACTAACAATCCTGTTGCACCTTAAAGGCTACGACTTTTACTATTGCATATGTTTTTTGTGGACAGCATACATGAAAGCTTCTGCCAGAATTAATTGTGTTAGTTTTTAAGGTGCTACAATACAACAAGCAGGTTGAAGCTGAAGCACCAGTTTTGTGTTTAGTTAAGAAAACATTCTGCAGAAATTATAAGAGTTACACATAACAGTTTTTTGATGGGAACATTGGAGATACACAGATAGAATAGATTGTGTACTTAATAGTTTCACAGAAATGTGAATCCTTGCACATAAATATAATGTTACATTGGCTTTAGATGAGAGACGTTTCAGATTCTTGTTCTCTAGATGAGTTTTGGAAAGTTACCCTGTTTAGCTGTTACATGTCCTAAAGGAATGATTATCCTGATAAATTAAAAATCTACACTGCAACTAAAGCTATTGTCAGCATGTCAATTTTTATTGTCTGGAGCTCAAGACTTTTCTCTCTCCCCATCCTGCTTTTGTATGATGTAAATAACAAAGTCTGCTGTAGTTCAGCTACCATTTTTAGGCACTCCAGCTGTGTAAAAAACACTACACAGTACAAGAGCATGCTCATTTGAAACCAAATGTAAGGTAATATTACAATTAGAGAGCCAGTATGTTGTAGTGGTTGAGAGCATGGGTCTGGCACTCAGGAGTTCTGGATTCTAGTCCCTGCTCAGTCATGGAGCCAACTGGGTGACTTTGGGCCAGTCACAGACTCTCATCCCAGCCTACCTCACAGGGTTGCTGTTGTTGGAACAAGACTGAGAGCAGGAGGAGAAGAATAATGTAAGGTGCTTTGAGTTCTTTAAAGAAAGAAAAAGGTGGGATATAAGCAAATAAATGCATATTAACAGGTAGGATTCAAACATACTTATGCTTCGATCAGTGGGACTTACTTATGAATGACATGCCCAAATGATTTCAGTCCATGTATTCTGAGCATGGCTAAGGCTTAAATCCAGCCTTGAGCAAGCAGACTTTAAACTGTTTCCTCTCTCTGCAGGGCTTTGTGTGCCCCTAAATCTGCTACAGATGTCCTCCAACATTTTAGCATGAATTTGGGTGATTAATGTTGACATTAAAATATAAGGATGAAAATTATTATATTGCAATTGAAATCCTCTGTTATGGGATATTTCAGTGCATGTTTGCTTTCAGTGACTAATTGGGTTTTTCTGACCCTAATGCCCAGAAAGACTGCTCAGAATATTCAAAAGTATATAGCCTAGAATAGCATTTGTTAATTTTAAAGAGCAAAATACCTCGCCACATTACAAAGTATTTTGGAAACTCTGCAGAACAGCTTTTTCCAACCCTTCAGATTTGTTGGACTACAACTCCCATTACCTACAGGCAACATAATTGGTCGTGCTGGTGAGGATGGTGGGAGTTGTAGTCCAACTCCTCTGAAGGACAGCAGGTTTGGAAAGTCTGCCTCAGAGTTTTAAAAATGGTTTGTCTTACAGAATGAGAAGGCTGGTATTAATGAGAGGATGCTCTTTGTGAAGGTAGGGTGGAAGTACCTACCTGATTTTTTGGATGCTGGCCATAATAAGGACATAAGAGAAGCCATGCTGGTTCATACCAAAAGTCCATCTAGTCTAGCACTCTGTACACAGGGTGACAAATCTGCTGCTGCAGGATCCCTCAAGCAAGATGAGTGCAAGACCTCCTTCTGCCCAAGCTCCTCAGCATCTGCCACCTCTGTTAAAGTGGGGAGCATATAGCCAGCAATGCTAGCAGCCACCAGTAGAGTTCACTGATGTTGAACTCCAGAAGACCTACCTGGCAGAAAGTTCACTTTGGCCTTTGGTGTTCTGCCACTGACTTACTATGGAGATGAAACCTAGTTATGATGGAAATCTGAGGACAATGGTGTAACACTTTCTTACTCCCCCATGTAAGTATTATGTTTACGTCTTTAATCTTTGACACCCCTCCAGACTCTGGAATGCTCCTTCGCTACTTGTGTGATGTAGCTCACTGGAATATGAACAAGTACTGAATCAAAGGTGATACTAGTGATAACTTGTGTTCACTAACATCAATCCAAAGTTAGTGTGATCTGATTAGACTATGCAGTAAATACTGGGGACAATATGCAAGCTTGTTTGTTATTAACACAGCTTTCCAGTGCAACATATGTGCGTTTCAAACCATATTCTTAATTTCAATTGTGTTACTGTAACTTCCCTCCTTTTCCATCCTTCCTGAGCTACCGTGTGACCAACCGTTCACAGTGAAGCTTGCTGTAGAAGCCCTGTTGCACACATTTTGAACAAATGGTCAGTGTTCTCATCAAGACTCTGCATATCAGCTGACTGTACCATACACTGTCCTGCCTAACAGTACAAATACATTGATCTTTTTCTAAGCATTGTTATTCTTTTTCATCTTTTAAAAAAACAGAGGGGCTTGTGGTGTCTCTGTGTTTTAATTGCCTGATCTTTTAAAAATTCAGTTGAAGTGAGGTTGCATAACTAATTTGGATTCTTTGAGGAATTTTGAGGAATCCAAATCAACTTTTTTAGAATAAATACATATTTATTTATTTAGAACTTTTGTACCCTGTCCTGTACATAGAAGTCTCAGGATGGTCCAACAACAAAGGCACAACATAATATCTATAATATAAAACCCAACTAAAATAAAAAAAATCCTGAAATAATGGGAAAATAAAAATGTAATGCACTTTGAGAAATCATGTTGCATCATAGACAAACATCATTTTAGCCTACAATATTTGAATAGATTTGCTCCAAATGCCTCTATTTCCTGGCTGTGAAAGAAAAAAATTTGTATTCTGGTTGGAGTCATATAGCACATAGCACTCCCAGCAGTTTTTATTGGAAATGATTAACAAGAAGAGTATGGTTTATTGGGTATGAACTTGCTTTTTAAATAGGTTTGAAAAATAAAATCAGCAATGATGAATTACAATTATGGAAGTACAGAACTAATTATTTGACTGCTCTTAAAGTATATCATTTTTAAATTGTTAGGAACAATGCTAATTGGGGGATGGGAGAAATTCAGCTGTGAATGGTGTGTCTGTGACTGAGCTTTTGGTCTGAAGGTTCAGTTATATTCTCATTTCAAACATTTTTGTTTGAAGCTCTTGCTGTAGTGTCTGTTAATATAAAGAGAGGCATCATAGGATTGCTAAATCTGCATATTCTCAGAAATGTATGTAATGTTTTGTGTGTCTGAATATGTATGTACTTTGAAAGTTTGATGTTGCAGGCCTGGTCTCCTTAAAGCGGAGCCATCAATTACTCTTTGAAAACACAATGCAGTACGTGCCGATGTGTTCATTCAAAGAAAAGAATAAACCTCTGTTTGTGAAAGCTTGCATATTTCAATGGGCCTTTCAGAAGCACAGCGTATTAAAATGCATAGCACCTAGAATTTATACAGATTAATTATCGCAGAGCAACACATTCGTGGTCTGGATTTCTGTATAATTCTTTTTCTGTATATCGTAAGTGTAGCTAGAGGACGTTATTTTCAACATTCCATAGATTAGACTTCAGGCTGTATCCTAGAATACATGTTTGTTCTGGATCTTGGCAATTTCTTCAGATCTGAGAAACCCTCAAACCATTTAGGCTTCCTTGAGCACGGCAAGATGACCCTTGTGGCAATAGAAAATAGTAGGTGCTGGATATGTACAGACTGTGATAACCTGTATCAGCAACTACTGGAAGCTATAATGGGTATGTAACATTTGCAGCTTTTGACACATGGGAACTTGCATTATTTTAGTGGAATATGGTCTTGTGATGCTGGCATACTAGAAATAACAATTTTTTTCTTCTTTGCCTAAAGATTAATTATAATGTGTGTTTGGGCTATTTTTGCAAAACTTTCAGGTGGTTGGATTTATGGGTTTTCAGTTTATTTAAATGGAGGATCATTTTTATGACAGCAGCTAGCCACTTGGTAGGATGTTTGTTTTTATTAAGGTTACTTATATTGGCAAACAGTTTTCTTTTCAAGTATAAATATTCTCTTGTGAAAAACATATTTCATTAAGAAGCTCGGCTTGCATTGAGCTGGGACAACTGTGCTTCAGTTTGACATGTTTTATTTTTTCTCCCAGCTGCACTGCAACTCTAAAATATTAGACTTTGTTTATCATCACATAATCCAATAAAAATTCTTGAATTTTGGGGTGGAGGAAGTGGCTATTTAAAAAAACTGATTAAGTATTTGGTTTCATCTGTCCTTTGATGCCATCAAAATTCCAGTACTATGTTGAGGTTTGTGGTGTTTTGCTACACGGGGAAGTATACCTCTCTTAATTATCTCAAATTGGACCAATATTTAAAATTTTACTAAGGTGTACTTATTTGTTGTACTTTTCCTTTCAGATGAGCCAGCCAGCCCCAGTATTGACCATGATATCGCCCACATTCCGGCTTCTGCTGTTATTTCAGCAAGTTCCTTGCAAGCACCAACTATTACAACAGTTCCTCCTAGTCCTACCTCTCTTGTCCCTTTAATCCGCCGTCAGCTATCCCATGACCAAGGTAAACTTAAAGTTCTAAACTGCTTTAGCTAATCCATTGATAAACAATGGTAGTTATTTTTTAAAGGGTAATATGATATATATTACCATATAAACACTTTAAATAAATAAATAAATAAATAAATATACATTTGCTTTAACTGCAGAATCTATCAGGACTAGCATTCTGGACAGTCAATTTCCTGCAAAAAATGAAAGGTCCAAGTCTTATGATGAAGGATTGGATGACTATAGAGAAGGAAAAGTGTAAGTCCTGATTTAAATACGTGTATATGAACTATGCATAATGTTGAATCTAAGTGTGTCTTCAAAAACGTTGATTGTAATACCTATTTTCAATGTACAGGTCCATAAAGCATGTAACAAGCTTAAAGGGGATCAAGGTCAGTAATCGTTTATTCAACAACATTGCATAGTCATGGGAAAAAAACATTATATTAGTGTTGCATATTTAAACAGTAAGGTGGACAAAAGTATGTGTGAATAGAGACTTTATTTATGGAAGTGTTTTATGATGATTTTTTGAGCAGGGGCCATCGCTCAGGAGTAGAGCATGTGAATTTTGTGTAAATGGTTCCAGGTTCAGTCCCTGGCATTGCCAGTTAAAAGGAGCAGAGAGCAATCAATAGGAAATAACTTTCTCTGTCTTTCAATATGGAGAGCAGCTACTAATTGGAGAAGGCATTACTAGACTAGATCAAGAAAGTCTCACTTGGTATAAAACAGTTTCCTCTTTCTGTACAGTCCAGATAGCTGGGACAGTTGCATATTGCCTGAGCCTTGCAGACAACCCAAGCTGTACTGCCTGCTCTATGTGTAACTAAAGAAAGTGAGACTGACTGAGAAACATGTTTGGGCTCCTCAGCAACTGGATGAGTTGTGCCCACTTCTGAGAGGGTGGGACAACACGGAGACTAGCAGCCACTATGTACTTTATGAATATAGTGTACAGCTGATGTTAACTCCCTGTTCTTGCCCTTTCCCTGTATTCTACCTGTGCAGCTATGGGGAAAGAAGAGAGAGACCTTTGGTCAGCAGAGAGATGGTTGATCATTCCTTGCTTCTTTCATTGCAAGGCTGACTCATTGTGGTGTTTTCTGTAGGCCCCAGACAGTCAAACATCTTCCGAAAACTCAGGGTCCAGAAAAGCTTCTTCTTCAGAGGTCTTTGGTGATGTCTCCAAGGAAGGATGCCTCCATTTTCGACAGCTGATCACGGATAAGGGCAAGGTACTGTTCTTCCTAATATATGGCTAAGAGTATATGTATAGTCACTTCTTTATGTGCCTTCAGGGTTGCTAGCTTCTTGCAGAAACTGTGTGTTTGTTTTTCATTCTCCATCAGTTGGGCTAGAAATATGTTTGCTTTTCTTTCATCAAAACCTCAGCTTTTCAGACTTTTTCAGAAGCAGTCAGGATTGGCATTAGAAGCCATGTGTCCTTTCTTAATTGACCACTGTAGACATGATATGCTTGCTGCAATATTTCAATTTTCTAGCTTTTGAAGTGAACACTGAACAATGCTTATTCATAAAATGAGGTGGACTGGTTTGCATGTTAGATTCTCTGTAGCTGCATGGTAGGAACTATCCCTGTGCCCCACCACTGTTTTCACAGTGAGATATACTCCAGGCTACCAGCAGTTAGCAGTAGGAATTTTAAATCTAATGTTGAAATGTTGAGGCATGGTATCAGTGGGAATAATGCCTCTGCTAGTTTGAAACTACATCAACATATGAAGAAAAGGTCATGTTTAGCTAGATACCTTGTCAATAAAGTCCCTAGAAAATGTTTTTGTTACATAAAGGGAACTACTGGTGAAACATACTTTTTGGTCCCTCTGCAGTCCTTTGAACCCTTTCCCCTAATTTGCTGCAGAGGGTTCAGGGAATCTCTGTAGCAAAGTTGGAGCTTTTGGAGGGCGGTGCAGGGAATGAGGAGAAAATGAAGCAGTCTCATCATGCAAGTTGGGGTTTCAAGCCTAGATCATGGCATTCTGTAAAACTTGGATGATATCCATTTGTCTTAAGAGTTCAGAAGATAATGACCTGGAGATAATGTCTTTCCTTTGCCTTCATGCTCTCTTGCCTCTTGCTGTTGAATTTTAGAATGCAAGGTCTGCACAGCAGTGTCTTGCCATGGTTATTTATGTTAAGATGCAAAGCACTATTTACATGCCTCTTGCGTTATTAAATAAATAATAATGCTGGTTCATATTTCCCAGAGAGTTAGTGGGAGCATCCGGCCATGGAAGCAGATGTATGTGGTGCTAAAAGGCTGCTCATTGTACTTGTACAAGGATAAAAAAGAACAGACCATGCCATCTGAGGAGGAGCTGCCCATCAGTATCAATGCTTGTTTGATAGACATTTCATACAGTGATACAAAGAGGAAGCATGTATTTCGACTCACCACGTCAGATTGTGAATACCTGTTCCAAGCTGAAGACAGAGATGACATGCTGGCTTGGATTAAAGCTATACAAGAAAACAGCAACTTGAATGAAGAGGTGGTGTGCTCAGTATTCCTTTCGTCTGTTTTGCTTTGTGTCCTCATTGAAGGCTGTGCAGCTTTAGCTGGTCATGCTCAGTGGTAACATTCCATTAAACTGTGGGAACAGGCTGCTGACTCTAGGATAGTTAAAGTTAGCACAAGTCATATTTTCATTGTTCTCCTGTTCACTGCCTCTTAAATGATAAGCAGTAGATAAACTACTTTTCCTGTAGTTAGGAATGCAGCCCTTTCACCTCCCAGCATTGTCCAGGGCCCTGTAGGAATATTCAGAGTTCCAGCACCAAGGGCCCCAGCTCAGAACTGGGACCCCAAATAGCAAACCCGTTTTGCTCCCCCTGATGAGTTGCATGAGAAGAATTGTGCTGACTTCCTTGTCTGGGTTGGAAAGCCTAAATCAGTAATCAGTAGAGAGCTAAAGGGATGTGCTGGGGGATGACAGGGAAGGGAGGCAGTAGGAGCAGTATTCAAATAGTGCCTGAGCCTCCATCTTTCCCACTCTGCACGGCTTGATCTGGATGCCCAAAATAGTTGTCTAGATAAATGTGAAGTGAAAATCGCTGCTGCCATACCTTGCACCTTACCTTGGATGCACATTAGCCTATGTGTTCAGAGGTTGACTTGCATTGAGGGCAGAGGCCGTAGGATTGTGTCCTCAACTATTTTTATTGACAGTTAACTGTAGTTTAACTACTTGCAATAATAATTACTTTCATCCCTGGGGGAAAGGGTTTTATTTATACCATTGCTGATACCATGCTGAGATCTCTGTATAAATACCAAATCAATCCTTAAGAAAAATGCAGCTGCACCTGCTGATACAACAGAGGGTGTGGCAGCTCCCATCTCATCCGTTTCTACAGCTCAGCCCCCCCCAAAAAAAGTTTCTTCAGAGGTTGTTAGTGATACCTTTGGCACACTGAGAAGTTAGTTGTTAGGAGTGTGCATTTTTAGTGTACAGCATTTCTAAAGGATTGGCTGCAATCCAGCTATTGTAGTATTTGTTCAGCCTGGCTTCCAGAGAGATCAGTAGCACCACATGGATTAGAAGGCCTGAATGGAGTTTGCTGCTTAACAGGTCTACTTCAGTTACCTCCAGGAATGTCCTGAGATGCAGGTCTTAAGTGGAGAGCCTTTCAAAGGGAAAGTCGATGTTATTTTTTCTATGGAAAAATCAACTCATACAACACACTTTGCAGATGTTGTTTGAATATAGTAAATGTCCAAGACAGCAATCCTGTGTGCCTGGAAATAAGCCTCAGTGAACACATTGGGCACATTCGCACATCACACTAACCCACCCAGGCAGTAAGCCATCATGTCTTGGTTGTTTCCCAAGTAATACATGGTGTTTCCAGCAGGTGACCGCTTACTGTTAGTTGTTTAGCCTTCCACCATGCAGCCTTCCACAGTCCTCCAACCATATCCCAGGGGACTTAGTAGCTAAAGCCACTTCAAAAAAGTTTATTTTTCACTTTCTTGAGATAGCTATCAGAAGGCAAGCTGTCAAGGGAATGCAAAGCCACAAGTGGTACTTGCTTGTGGAAGGAGGTAGATGATAGATTACCCTCTTCCTGGTGAGATCGTCCAATTTTGTGGCTGACTTGACTTTTCTTGGTGTGCTGTATCTTTCCTACAACTTTCCTGAGACTCTACATGATTGTAAAAGTAGAAATATATGAGTCACCCCTTTTATGGGAGCATGGAGTTTTGACAGGATAGTAATAATAAATAAATTTTACTATTTATATTTTTGTAGTGCTTTTGAACTAGGTAGTGATTTAATTTTAATATGTAGTAGATTTAATTGTTTTTAAATTTTTGTGTTTTTGAATGTTTAATTGAGTGAATTTTAATGCTGCGAGCTGCCTAGAGTTGTACTCTCTGGGAATAGGTGGGATATAATAAAGGTATGCCTCTGTCAAAAATTCTGATTAGCCCTGTGAAAAACCACAGTTTGACAGGATATCTGAGTTTTGGTAGATGACGAATCTCTCTACTCCTATAAAAGGGAGTAGCATGCACTTTTCCAACGTAAATACTTGGTAAAACTTGAGAGTCTTGTGTTTGATTTTTGCAACCTATACATTTTAATGTGGAAAAGAGTTTAGGATTATTATTTTTTTAAATTCCTGCATCCCTGATTAAAGTAGTGGATAGGTGTGGGTATCAGTAATTGGATACTTTTACGGAGTTACTGGTCACAGTATTTCATTAACTTAACTCCATCTCTTGAACTATGACACTTGATCCTGAGGAGGATTTGTTGTAAGACCATGGTACTGTTCTTTTCACAGAGTACTTGCCTAAATCAATAGGCAGGTCAGTGCACAGTAGTGTGTGATTTTTAAGCAGCCATTAATCACACATTTCATTGACACGAAATTTAATTCAGGACTAGGGCAGTTGAGGTATACTGCTCTCGGTTCTCAGCATTTAGCTGATTTCCTTGAAATGTTTTCAAACCATGTTTGCAATCGAATGTGTGGCAGTGTGTGCTTAAGACTTTGTGAAATTAATGGGACTTTACAATATATAACCTATGCAGAGAATTCTGTCATGCACACATGAGCATGCAGACACTCACCATCTTTTAACACATTAGCTACGTTAAAACCCTAATATCAGTAACTGCACTTCATATTCTGCTGCACAGGCTGTTGTCTTTTGAATGTGTCTAGATAAACTGTCATTTATGGAGCTTTTCAAAGCAAGAGTTAAAAGTAGTTCTCAATTCATTTTACAGAATACAGGAGTCACAAGCAGGGACCTAATTAGCCGGAGAATTAAAGAATACTGCACCATGATGAAGTAAGTGGCAGCAGCTCTGTCATATACTCCAGTTGCTCTGAGGCAGCACTTCCCTGCCTGTGAATAATATAGATGTGCGTCTGTATATTTTTATTTCCAGTGCTTCGAGTGGGAAAACAGAGCCATCCCCGAAAACATCTCGTCAGAGCCTAAGCATAAGACATACGTTACTTGGCAATAGAACTGAGCAAAGAACCCAGAGCCCCCATTCTCCCAAGGAGGAATCTGACAGGAAATTCCTTGCTAAAGGTATCTGTGGTGTGCATAACTTAGTTATTACTAGTTTCAGCTACAGGTGTGTGAGGAATCTGTTTTGGGGGTGGGAATCTGTCAGGTTTCCTGGGCTTGGCTCCTTGGATTGCAGTCCATTTTACCATGGCTGTGAGTCTGTGTTACTGGCAAGCACACCCAGTGTTTGCATGGCACTTACCAAGAATCAGGTCCTGTGTGAATGCTTGCAAGTGGTGCCCCCTGCTGTATCCCATGCAGCAAGCCTTTGTTTGTGCTGCTCGTGGTACTGAAGAAGGTTGTTAATTGTCTCCATTCCACAAGCATTTGCAGACTTCCTCTTGGATTGGCTTGCCATCCAAAGGCTGAGCACAAGAAGAAGTATGTGAATGCTGGAGGGATGGATTCCATGGGGCATTGTTTCAACCCTAGTTCCAGTCCCATCCCATTGATACTGAGGAAAAAGGGCTGAAAAGGCTTAGGGTCACAATTATAGCATTTTCTGAATGTTGGAGTTTCTTTGATCGTAGTCAGTAATAAAGAAGCCCCTCTTATTCTCTAATAATAGGGAAGCTTCAGGCATGATGCATGGAACAATGACCCATGCATGCTCTTTGCTGCTGTTTAAAGCATTTTTACCCCATTCTTCAGCCGAAAAGTTCCACAGAACAGCTTGCTGATACAACAGTAAGACAGACCATGTCCTCAGAAGTATATTCTAAGCTTTATTTTCACCCTGCATGAACATACAGATTTCAGAAATTTCAGTCATGCTTTAGTTTCACAAACTGAATCATATTTTTCTGTCTTCTGCAGTACAGTGTACTTCCTTTTGTATTTTGTTTTTTTGGTAAACATCTGCACACTGATAATGATTCAAGTCTTTGGTTGCTCGTGTTTATATAGCCAAAACTGCATCACCCACATCCCAAGAAGAAGGTAATAACAGACTTAGAATAGGTCCAAGGATTGTAGATGGAAAAAAAAAGGGAAAAACCTTAAACAGATAAGGGATCCCAAAAACAGCCCAGTGGGGAACTGAGTGTGTTCAGTGCCCTTGGAACAGCAACTAAAGCTGTTGAGGGGGAAAGAAGTCCTGAAACAGGTAGTGGGGCAATGGAATGGAGTATTCTGCAAAACGAGACTGGAAGAAGAGAGATAATGGCCTGGTTTGCACCTAAAACAACAACCCAGGGTATGATCAGGTGATACATAATGACAACCAAGGGTAATACAGATTGTTGTTGAATTTTGGGTTGTTTCATGCAAACCTGCACTACAGTAAACTATGAATTGTTAACTATGAACAATTGCGCATTCACAATCTAACAACAAACTATGGCTTCTCTTCTAAGAATGTTCAGGGTTAACATACCATAATTCAGCCATAGTGCAGAGTTTGCACAACCCACAATTCAAAGACAACCAATTCTAGGCTGTTGTCACATGCGAATGTGGCCACAGTATAGGGAGAATCATCTCATGTTCTTGGTTGGTTGGTTGGTTTGATTTTGTAGGGTCAGTTGATGTCATTTCTTTTTATTTACTTTTCTTGTTATGTTGTTATTACTTTGGGTTTTGGTTTTCGTTTTTGCTGTGGAGTAGCGAGGAAATGTGGTGTTCATAAACTATCGGTGATCCTTGTTGTGTGACAAAGGGAATAAGGAAACTCGGCCATGGCATGGGGACAGGAAACCGGTTGTTGGAATCTGTATCTTTGCTGTCACTCTTGTCATAGCCTTTTTTAGCAGGAGCGGTTTTGTTGCCACTGTGGACTTTGCAGTTCATCACTACCTTTCCTCACTGGCATAAAATTAATGTGTGCATGCTCAAATGCAGAATGCCTTGATGTGGTCTAACACTGGGAGTATTGCATTAATTTTCCAAGCAGGAAATTAATTCCTGTTGAAGACTTTTTCCATTCTGTCAAATCAGCATGTTAGTTTTAAAAACTGGTGAGCTGATTAACCAGCATGGGTTGATGCTGTTTTGGTGAATATATATTTTTATTGACATTTAGATGAATTCAGCAGTCCATGCTTGTATGAAATTCTGTATTCAGGTCATAGAAATATGGCTAATGAACAGTGAGTTATATCCATTGACCCCAGATGATTCCAAAATCTTTAGAAGGTCTAATATATGTGCTTTTACGTCAGAGAGTTCTCAGATGGACTGAGATAGGCACATACTGACGGTAAGTTTGCTGTAGTCCAGGGACTGTCAACCAGCAGCCCTCCATATGTTTCGGCCTGTGACTCTCATGATTTGTCATCATTGGATGTGCTGATTAGGGCAGAGGAGAAATGCAGGTCAAAACGTCTGGCATATCATAAGTTGCCCACCTCTGCTCAAGTCCAAGAAAGCATGGGTAATTTAGGGTGCTCCAGACTTTTCATGTGAAAATGTGTTTGGAATCACAAAGACTACTTGAGTTTCTTAAGTAACTGCCTTTGTCAGTGTAGGGTATTCAACTAGTTGAGGAAGTCATGGAAGATGTTTCTGCAAGCCTTGTGTGTATGTTTTGGGCAGGGCATGACTGCTTCTAAATGAATTTTGTGATGTATCACAATCAGAAGGTTGTTTCAAATTAATTAGTTTTGAAGGCTAGGAAATTGGTTTAAAAGACATTAGTAGAAGAATGAGAAAATATTGGCATAAGCTCAGTAAGAATGTTTCTGGTAGTTGCTGGATCTATGGAGGGATGTGATGAGCTATAGGTTTTCTGTATAATTGTTTCTGTGGACTGTGGTATGAAAACAACAAATTCTTGGTTTAGGAATAATTTGATGGATGGGTAATGGTTCTTCATCGTGGCCTCTGTGCATCACACATACGGGTACGGCGCCTGCACAGTGCCTTTGGCCGGAAGATTGATAGCTAACGGTTTGGCGGGAAAATTCCGCTCCCCTCCCCCCTAACAGTATATATGGAGCGGAGTGTCCGCCATTTTCTAGTCTTTGCGACCACTGTTCGTTGTACCTCATGCTGCTTCGCTCTTGCTTAGATCGTTACTCGTTTTCCCTTCGCTTTGTCGAGTTCTCTTTCTCTCTTCCAAGTTAGTATTCCCTTGTTCATATTGCTCTTTAGTGTTCCAGTTAGTCTCTTCGTTTTTCTTCTTGTTCCTATAAAAAAAAAACAAAAATAAAAATATTATCTGCTTCCTCTATACTATCTTCTTTTTTTCCTATTTTCTGCGACGGCGCAACGAGCGGCGTTCCACAAGTGCGGAGAGTGTGGCTCCAAGATGCCAGCTGCAAACCTGCATGACCTGTGCCTCCTTTGTTTAGGGGAAGGCCACAGGACAGACAAATGCGGCCATTGCCTGGCCTTCTCTAAGCAGGCGAGGAAGAATAGGGAGAACCGCCTGTGTAAACTCCTGTGTGACCAGGCTCTCCTTCAATCGGACCAGCTGGTGACTAAGCCTGCTACAACTTCAGCTGCACCTGACCACCGTCCGACTTCAGCTGACCCGCCACAACGTCCGGCCTCTTTCTCTATTGCTTCGCCCTCACGCCCTTCGGACAAAGGTGCTCCCACCATGGGCGATCAGCCTGTTTCCCCGCCAAAGCAACAGTGGGAAAAGAGGAAACACAGCAGCCCTGAAAAGCCGTCTGTGCATAAGAAGGCCAAAAGAGATAAGGCTGAAAAGCTGGTTAAGAAACCGAAGAAACCTGAGCACTCTAAACATCAACACTCGGGTTCGGCGACTTCCTTGGTCCCGACTGCAGTCGTGGTACTGACACCCTCGGGTCTGACCATTCAGGTGGTGATGAGGGTTACTCCTCCGGGCTCTCCACGCCGTACGGGATCTGAACTTCACCAGGATCCACCTCGCTGTTTGATTTCCGATGGCGAAATACAAGATTCTCCACTGAGGGCTCGGTCCCCAATGCCTATGCCTCCTGTTTGGCTCGATACCGAGACTGGAATGTCTCCTCCGAGAAGTTGTAGAAGTTGGTCTTCCGACATCCAATCCGACGACTGGTACCACTCCAGGTGTTCTTCCGCTCCACGATGGGGTGACTACCAATCTGTTGGCTACTACCCGGCTGCTAGAGATCGATCTTCTCCACCAGCTCCTCGAGATCATTTCCATTCTAAAGCCCTGAGAGACGCCCCGCGGGCACCGTCTAGGGAAAGCGGTAGATCGGCGTCACCAGGAGATTCCTCCTCCAGCGTCCCAGCTCCCTATTGGGTGGACTCAGATGAGTCCAAGGTCGATTCGACTTTGCCTGATGCTACAGACACCTCGCAAGACCCCGCATCACCAGAAGAGCCGCACATCTCTTTCGCTGAGTTGATGTCCAGGCTGGTGAGGTTGCTGGAAATCGAGGCCAACCAACAGCCTGGTCCCAGCACCGATCGCTTCTATGATGTGGTACGGGGCGAACAATCGACCTCCATCGCTTTGCCACTCATCACAACTCTGCAACAAGCGATGACTCAGCCATGGGACCTCCCGGCTCACCCCCAACAGACTTCAAGAAGAAATGAAGCCATGTACCGGGTTCAGGAGGGGGACATTCCATACTTCCTTCGTCACCCCAAACCGAACTCGGTGGTGGTGGAGTCTTCTCAGGGCCGGGAGGCATGGGGTCACACCGTGCCCCGCGACAAGGAGGGGAGGAAGATCAACACCCTTGTGCGCTGAGTCTATGCGGCCTCTGGACTTGGCTTGCAAATATTGAACTATGAGGCGACATTGGTACACTATCAATACTTTATAATGTAGCGCCTGGACAACATCATTGCCGCTCTCCCAGATAACCAAGGCGACCTGGCATGGGTGTTCGTAAAAGAGGCCATGCAGGTCGCGGTGCAACAGCTATCCACAGCCAGACATCATGTGGTCATGGACTCGAGGGCTCTCGTCGGTGCCATCTCCCTCCAGAGGCACGCTTGGTTGCGTAATTGTAACTTTCCGGAGGAGATGAAGAGGAGGATCGAGGAGATGCCCTTTGACGGGTCCGGCCTCTTCAACGCAAAGACTGACCACAAGTTGAAGAAAATTCACGAGTCAAGGATGATGGCCCGGCATATGGAGTTGCAACCTCAGCCTCGACGTAAGTGGTCGTGGACCCGTCCACACTATCGGCAACAATATCCACCCCGACAACAGGCACAGCACCGCCAACAACGCCGCAGACAGCAACCGCCCCAACGATTCCAGCAAGGCCGCTGCCGCTTTGACGGGGACAAATGCCATTGCTGATGGGGCGGGCGAACCTTTCCTCTCTTCCCAACCCCACCCTTCCCCCTCTCATTTGGGGACCGGCTGAAAGGCCGACTCCCCATTTGGGAGTCCATTACGTCTGATCGGTGGGTGTTATCCATCATTCAACACGGATATCAAATGGAATTCGACATTGTTCCATCATCGAGTCCCATCCAATTTACTCCATGCGCGCCGGTGTTGTTAGACGAGGTTCATCAGCTCCTTTCTAAAGGAGCCATTCGTCGCTTATCTCTATCAGGACTCCACAGATTCTATTCTAGATGCTTTACAGTCCTGAAACGGGATGGAGGTCTTCGGCCAATATTGGACCTAAGAGCTCTTAATAAATTTATAACACCAAAGAAGTTTCGGCTGACCACACTTCAAAATATCCTGCCATTGCTGAGGAGAGAGGACTGGTTCGCCTTATTGGACTTGAGGGATGCCTATTTTCATATTTCGATCCATCCGTGTCATAGGCGTTTCCTCCGTTTTCCTGTTGCTTCTGAAATCTACGAATTCACGGTGCTCCCATTTGGACTGGTCACCGCCCCGAGGGTCTTCACGAAGTGTATGGCCCCTGTCTGCACGTACCTCTGACTATGCGGGGTTCAAATATACCCCTACCTCGATGACTGGTTGTTGGTTTCCCAGACCAGAGAAGGACTTTGTTCCTCTGTAAACATGGCCTGCTCCTTATTGCAGGATCTTGGACTTTGCATTAACCACGAGAAATCCTCTCTTGTTCCTGTGCAGATGATCAACTTCATCGGAGCCCGTCTGGATTCAACAGTGGCGAAGGCATTTCTCCCTCAAGACAGACAACGCACTCTTACTCGACCCATCCATCGAATTCGACAAGATGGAACTGTTCCTGCCCGATCTGTTCAAAGGCTCTTGGGGCACATGGCAGCATCCATTACCGTCGTTCCACATGCCAAGCTTTGGCTTCGCCCCCTTCAGCTGTTCTTCAACAAGATGTTCTGGCCGCAAATGGATTTGCCAACGAAGTTGATTCGACTCCCGTCTTCCATTCTACAATCCCTGCTATGGTGGACAGTATCAGACAACTTAAACATTGGAGTCCCGTTCCGACCTTGGTGCCCTACAGTCACTCTCGGTACCAATGCATCTCTGCTTGGATGGGGAGCACTGTGCTCTGGCCTACACACTCAAGGTGTTTGGAATCGACAGGAGTCCAGGAATCATATCAATTTCCTGGAACTTCTAGCAGTATCCAAAGCTCTACAATCATTCAAGGATGTTCTTCGCCATTGAGTCGTTCAGATCGCTACAGTCTTTTACCTGAACAAACAAGGAGGGACAAAGTCACCAATGTTAGCCCGGCTATTGATGCAGATCTGGGAGTGTTGCATCCCGAGAGACATTACCTTGATAGCAGTACACCTAGCCGGTACGGACAATGTGGAAGCCGATCTCTTAAGCAGACACATGTCCACATCTCACGAATGACAACTGGATCGCCAGACATGCGACCGGCTGTTCCAGCAATGGGGTCTCCCAGGCATAGACTTATTCGCCACCCGGCAAAACAGGGTATGCAAGACTTTTTGCTCGAGAGTGGGAATCGGATGGGTCATCCAGGGATGCCTTTATGATCCCTTGGAACAATATGATCTTTTACGCTTTCCCCTCGATTCCCCTCATTATGAGAGTAATATCGAAGATAATCCACAACGGGGCCACAGGACTGCTGATAACTCCATGGTGGCCCCGCCAACCATGGTTTTTGACACTTCTTCACATTTCTCGAGAGGAATACCTTCAACTTCCATCCATTCCTTATCTCATAACCCAGCGGGAAGGCACAGTTTGCCACCCGGATCTAACATCACTGAAATTGACAGCCTGGCGAATTCGATAGTAGTCAGCGTTGACTCGGTACCGATGTCATCTGCATTTTCTACGGATTCTGTCCCCGGATCTGGCATGCTGTTCCATGCTTCGAATCCACCTACCTTCCCTACGTCTTCAGATCCGACGAACGTTCCGTCGGATCTGCCAGTTTTTCACCCGGACATCCAATGCATTCTCAATTCTGCGCTAAGACCATCCACTCGAAAATCATAGCGGCTGAGTGGCGTCGATTCTCTGTCTTCGCTGAATCTCGCTCGTTTCCGCCACACTCTGCATCCATAGATCATATTCTCCAGTTCCTCTTAGAACTCCACCGTTCCGGACTTAAGCCATCCTCCATAAGAGTGTACATGGCAGCACTTTCCTATTACTGTGGTACAGTTCAAGGTTCCTCCTTTTTTTCTCAACCACTGATAAAGAGATTTCTTAAAGGACTCCGTAACCTCCATCCGACAGTCAGACCGCTTATGCCTATTTGGAGTCTTTCAGTGGTGCTACAAGCGCTAACCAGACCTCCTTTTGAACCCATGGCAAGAATTGATTTATGCCTTGTTTCTTGGAAAACTGCATTCTTTGTAGCAGTTATGTCAGCCCGGAGAGCTAGTGAGCTCTGTGCCCTCAGGGCAGACCCTCCATATTTGAACTTCCATAGGGAGAAAGTAGTTCTAAAAATGGATCCGTCCTTTCTTCCAAAAGTGGCTACCTCCTTTCACATGAACCAGGAGATTATCTTACCTGCCTTTTTTCCATCTCCTTCGAATCCAGTTGAGAGATCCATCGACATGCGGCGTTGCCTAGCCTTCTATAGGTCAAGGACTGAGTCTATTCGACATTCCAATAAGCTCTTTGTTAAGTACTCTGAGCAAAATCAAGGTTTTCAGTTACCCCCAGAGACTTTCCAAGTGGATAGTCCACACTATTATTCTCTCCTATCAGTTGGCTAAGATAGACTTACCTACAATTCCAAGGGGTCATTCTACTAGAGCTGTAGCTGCTTCCTCAGCTTTTGCGTCGGGAGTTCCGATTGACGATGTCTGCAGAGCTGCCACCTGGGTCACTCCATGTACATTCGCTAGGCATTATAGACTGGATGTCCGTGCTAGACAGGACTGCTCCTTTGGCAGAGCCATTCTTTCAACTATTCTTCGTTGATGACACCTCCCTCCTCCAGTCAGGGTAAGCTTGCTAATCTACCCTTATGTGTGATGCACGGAGGCCACGACAAAGAAAAGCAGGTTGCTTACCTGTAACTGATGTTCTTCAAGCGGCCATCTGTGCAGTCACACAACCCATCCACCGGCCCCACTTGGTGTCATTGGGTGGTATTGTTTCGGTACCGTGCTATTCTTGTCCTCGGTACCTACACAATATTTTTTCTTCTTGCTGTTGATATCGATGAAACTTTTTTCCTTTACTTAGTTACAATTTATTCTTTAGAGAGCGAACGTCCGGTCTGTCAAAGACTGAACAAAATGGCGGATGCTCCGCTCTTTATAGGCCACAGGGGGAGGGGGAGCGGAGCTTCCCGCCAAAAACCGTTAGCTATCAATCTTCCGGCCAAAGGCACTGCGCAGGCGCAGTACTCATATGTGTGACTGCACAGATGGTCACTCAAAGAACATCAGTTACAGGTAAGCAACCTGCTTTTGCTGAGATTACGGTGAAAGTGTGGTCTGTAGTTAGAAAAACTGTGGTCTAGGCTTTCTACACAGATCTTAACTCAGCACAATGCTAACGGGCAGCTTTAATACAAATTGAATGACTGAATGAATGAATGAATGAATGAATGTCAAACGGATATTTCCCACTGACCATTCACTCTTCACTCTTACTTTGTGGATTTGTCTAGGCACTAATTCAGTCATACTCAGGTAGCTTTCTTAATGGCTTGTTTTAAAAATTCTGTTTTCCTTTTTGCTTTCCTTCCCTTAAGAAAAAGATGAGACAAGCCCACCAAAAGACAAAGGTACGTGGCGAAAAAACATTCCTAGTATCATGAGAAAAACCTTTGAGAAGAAGCCATCTGCAGTTGGGACCTTTGGGGTCAGACTAGATGACTGTCCCCCAGCTCAGAGCAATAAGGTATTAGTAAAAATTAAGAGTAAGACAAAATCATGCATTTACAGTTTGATTTGAAAATGCTTCTCTGTGAGGTACAAACAGCAAACTCTCTCTTTCTTTCTCTTGGATTTTTCAGTATATTCCACTAATAGTTGATATATGCTGCAAATTAGTTGAAGAAAGAGGTCTTGAGTATACAGGTATTTATAGAGTTCCTGGGAATAATGCTGCCATCTCAAGCATGCAGGAAGAACTCAACAAAGGCATGAGTGACATCGATGTTCATGACGACGTGAGTGGTGACCTCAGTATTTCTAGTTCTAAAGTTGCATTTCGTTAAATGCAGGATAACAAGAAGTTTCTCTTTTCACTTCTTAGAAATGGCGAGACTTGAATGTCATAAGCAGTTTACTGAAATCCTTCTTCAGAAAGCTTCCAGAACCTCTCTTTACAAATGGTAAGTTTTTGCTCTAAATTTGGAAAAGGGCATTTTTATTTAGAACCAGTTGCACAGTAGCTGCAATTTCTGGGTTGATGCAAGCGAAGCACCAAGCTGTGCACTCAGACAACCTAGGAATTGCTACTGTTACATGCCAGCCAAGTCACGATAGGTTTCCTGTGGTGTGTTAAATTTAGAATACTTGGTCTGATGGCTTTTGAATAATACCTGCTTTGCACCCAGCACTTCTGTCAGTTACACTGTTTGAACTAATTGATATTTGCAATGAGTAGAGGGTTAGACTTGATGGCCTTACCCAATTCTGCGATTCTCCAAACTGGTACCAGCCAGCATAGAGTTCAAAGAAAGATGCTACTCTGGATGCATATTCTAATTAAGTGAACTGTTGCCTTCTGTCCTTAAACCACATTTGATTTCACTGCTTGGGTTCACTCAGTAAGCACTATTCCCATTCATTCATCTCAGCATTGCATGAGCTCAGCAAGCTGCTCTTGCTTAGTTCAGGGTAAGGGACCATACCTGAGTGATGGAGCACATGCTTTGTATACCCAAGGTCCCAGGTGAAATCCCTGGCAACTCCAGCCGAAAGGACCAGGGCAGGGCATAGGTGATGTATGTGAGTGTTCTCTGCCTGAGAACTGAGTTGCTGCCAGCCAGTATTTAGCACTGAGACAGATCTGGCTGGAGGACTGCATCGGGGTTGCTGGGCCAGGTGCTTGTAGGCCTGGTCATGCATTGGTTACAGGTTGCTGAGCCAGGAGCTCTGGCTGTTCCTGGGGTTACCGCTTTTTCAGTGGCCCTGCTCCTGCTCCTGTGACTTTGACAGTGGCCCAACACTGAAACTGAGCTGGTGAAGCTTTTCTCTTTACTTCCTACTGTTCCAGCAAAGGCTTCACCACCTGTAATTTCTTTATGCCAGCACCACAACAGCTTAAAAAGGTTGGCAGGGGCAGCTCTTTCAAGACACACATTTATTGATTGGTGTAAGCTTCAAATAAATCAGATTAGACTGCTTTGAATATAGAGAGTCCCAGGTTTCAACCCCAGCATCTCCAGGGAGGACAGAAAAGACACCTCCCTGAAAAGATAGCGAATTATGCTTCTAGTCAGTGTTGGCAAACTAGGCTAGATGGATCAGTAGTCTAATTCAATATAAGACTACTTCCTAGGTTTGCATGGTTAATAAAATGTTCTGTTAAAAATTCATCCCATCTTATTTTAATCATATAGCATTTATTTCTGGATAGCCATACATTTCTACCAAATTTCTGCTAGGCAGGATTCAAAGGCTCATTCAGGCTGAGTTGGTTGGTTTGTTTCATAATGAATGGAAGCACTCTGTATATGCAATTCCTGTCTCTGTTCATGTCATTGCTTGTGCTCATCTCTATATGTTGGGGTCCCCAGCAAGGATCTTCAGTGGCATACGTAAAGCTCCTTGCTTTCTTCCCCCTTCAAACTTTATTTGTAACAAAAAACTTGAAAAATGTTAAGGCACTGTGTTCTCTTTCATCTTCCTGAATCTGTCCCTCCCATTTTCTAGTCATGCATTTTTCCCACTTAGCCTCATTAACACACTGTTTCGCTCTACGCGCAGCCTTTACCTCATTATTTCTCTCTCCTCTGTCCCTTTGGCTTGCTGTTGCTCCCCCCATCTCATCCTCGGGCCTTACTATTTTTCACCTTCCACATGCCTCTTTTGACTCACCAGGCCCCCATGGCAGTCCTGTTGTGACTGGCTACGTCATCCATGGGCGCTATTTGGTGGTGGTGTCCGCTGCAGTTTTTCAAACCCCAAATGTATCCACAGTGCCAAAAAGGCTGGGGGTGCTTGCCATGTGACATGTAGAAACTCCTTTGCAACAGTATATTTTTCCCTCTTCAGAATCTGATAGGTGCTACATGAGCTCTCCCAATAAAATTCTTTTCTTTCTTGTTAGACAAATATGCAGATTTTATAGATGCCAATAGAAAAGAAGATCCTGTGGAGCGGCTAAAAACATTGAAAAGGCTGGTATGCTGATTTTCGATATGCATGGTCTAATGCAAAATTTTATTCTTACGCTAATTTCTAAACTATGCTAAAATCATGTTTCAGATCCATGATTTACCAGAGCATCATTATGAAACACTCAAATTTCTCTCTGCACATCTGAAGACTGTAGCAGAAAACTCAGAAAAAAACAAGGTACCTCAATTATGGTGCAGTGGGCCTTAGCCATTTATTTATTTTCTTCCTTTCATTTGTTTTCTCTAGTTGGGGGGTTCTTTGATTAGGTTAGCATTGTGAATGTGGAGAAAACTCACTAATTCAATGCATCTGTGAAAAGCAGGTGAACTGTAAGAGGGCTATAAAACAACCCCCTATAACTCATTATGAAACAGTGTCCTTCCTGCCTCTTAGTGAGCTACTTCTGCCTGCTGTGTTGAGGGAGAAGAGGGAGATTCAAGAGTAGTTTTGTTTTATTTCTCTTGAGCTATGTATGCAGGTCCACAACTTCTGCAGGAGAGCAAACTTGGTGGACATTGAAACAGCCTCTCCCTACAGCATCCCAGCTAAGTAGGGGTGCTGGTCCTAGAGGATAAGTCGGTGGGGTATGTGGCATCAGTGCTCAAAGACCTTAGCTAGCGCAGCTGCTGCATCTTGTGGTGGCTAGCAAGCCTGTGTCCTGCATGGAGGGATACAACGTGTAAGACCCGTTGCAGGAAAAGGCACATTCTGGATTGCACGAGAGCAGCTACAGTGCAGCAGCTAAGGGTGTGGTTGCTGCCTAGTACAGTGCCTAGGAAAAATTACCAGAGTAGCACTGGGTTAAAGCTTCAAAACTTGCCATGGGATTAATGTAGAAGGGTCCACATTCAATTACTAATATCTCCAGACCATTATCTGAGGCCATGAAGAACTTGTTACCAGTTACAGTAGACAATGACAGACAAAGGGAACAGTGGCTGGGCTCTCAGTTTCACTTACTGGTTAGCATTGGGAGAGTTTGTTCTGTAGTTTGCTGTGCTGTTGCTTTTATGTTTTAGCCTGCGACATGGGAACACATGACTCTCCATTTGTTGTTGGACTGCAACTCCTGTTATCCCTCACTGTTGGCTATTATAGCCAGGGCTGATAAAATAACATTTGGAGGGCCACATGTATCCCATACCTGCTCTACAGTGTGAACAGCTGGAGTTCCCTAGCAAAATCAGCCCCTCAGTCAGAGACTCTTGCTTTTTTACAGTATATAAAGGTAAGACTATTCCTGCTGCAAATGAAACTATCAGATTTATTTTCTTTGCTTGTCAGATGGAGCCAAGAAACCTGGCAATAGTATTTGGTCCAACTCTTGTGAGAACATCTGAAGATAACATGACACATATGGTTACCCATATGCCAGATCAATACAAAATTGTAGAAACACTTATCCAAAAAGTAAGTGAATCCATTTCACTCTTTCAGACCGGTTATGCAGGCAGACCTGTTGCTTTAGCTAGGCTGGTTTTGATTCTGATTCTTCTTATTTGAGCCACTCACTCCTTGTTTCTTTTGATTTCTGCTATGTCCACATATTTATGGTCTAACTTCTGTGGAGTTTTTCACCTCTTTTATTTTAAATTGTAGCATGACTGGTTTTTCGCAGAAGATGATGCTGAAGAGCCCCTTGTAAGTACTGATCCTTAACTATTTGGATTCTACTTCCCCTTTTAAGTTAAGGCATACCATCAATTTGTCTAAAGGTTTTCTAAAACACGTTTGGCTAAAGCTCCAAACATTTTCTAGTTCTTTAGACCATGTAGTAATGTAGCAGTAGTGAATAAGATACAGCTGAGTGCTTCTCCACTAAATTATAATTTTCTCCATTTTATCCTACTTTTTTGGGTGGGCAAAATGCTGTTGAATGGGGATGAAGCCACTAACTGTGACACGATGATGAAGAGATCTTTGTTTATTAACTGTAGACAGCAGTTCAGGAGGAAAACACAGTAGAATCTCAGCCAGTGCCAAACATAGATCATTTACTCACCAACATTGGAAGAACGGGAGTATCCCCAGGAGACGTATCAGGTAACTCTTGCCTGAACGGTGTTAGTCTGTAGGCTAGAAAATTCTCTTCTAATGAGTTGTTATAATCTTCTGTTTCCTTTCTTTGCTAATAACTTGATTTTACCCCTCTTATCTACATGATCTTGGATGTTTTGTTTGAAAGATGACAGTGGTTGGGCATGTTGCATGATGTAGGTGAGAATGCTTTCTTGGTGAACTGTAGTGTAGTTCTTACATGATGAAAATAGCTACGCATGTTGCCCTGTTGTGCCATTGACCATGGTTATCCAAGTAATTCCTACCATGAGGCGGACAATGTACCTGCTGGTATGTAAGTCATTGATGGGATGGCAGAAAGCTTTAACTTCTATGCTCTGATAATGCCAGTTTTCATCCTTAGGAAGGCAAATCAACTAACTATTATTCTTCCCAAGCGCACTGCGATAGTGTATGTCTATAAATTACTAAACATGTTGCTTCCATTTAATGACTGTCACTTTATTATTTGGCTAAATACTACTGTTGTAAGCTCTCTCGGTGACTCTCCCCCACACTGTCACCACATACCGTTTCATTTACCAAGCATGTTTTTCACAAATGTTATCCCTTTGTCTCTAGTTTGTGTTTTAGTTCATAGAAGATATTTTTCAGCATTTTATTGAAACAGTTCCTCTATCCTGATGTTGAAACAGGAGAAATGGGAGGAGTCTATCACACGGTGATGTCACTGATGGACTCTGTGATGTCACTGATGGACAACTGGAACTGTAGGAAGAAGGAGGACTGTTGCCCACATTGTAGCTGCCTTGTCTGCAGAAACCCCCGTTTCTTGTAAATGCACAAAAGAATGAGTTGATCTGTACTGTAAATTTTTCTTTTAAAGAGTATTCGAACAGATCAATGCTACTTTTTTAAAGTGTTTCTGCTGTTTCTTGTTATTTCTGAAGCAGACCCTGAGGAGAAATAGCATGGTATGGTCCACCGGTTTTTCTAGTCATTAGCCATGTGTCAAAAGGGGCATGGCATGGGGCTCAGCTTCTTAATTCCGAGGTTGGGGGGGAACCCCTGGAGAGTTGGAGAATGGCAAAGTAACATGTATTTTGGTCATTGTGCTAGCCCCTCCGTACCCCCTTTATTACTGTATAACCTCCGTTGTTTGTTTTTTTGCCAGACAGTACAATTATGGTGTCCATTTTTCATTTCATAATAGCGCTTGTTTTTGAGATAAGTTCAAAACTGATAGCTGTGGAAATCTAGCTAGTGACAAACGAAAAATTCACAAATGTGCAGCTCAGAGGAGCATCTGAGTGCAACTGGGGCATTCAAATGTTAACCCCAGTGCAAATATGATTTGCAAAGTAACTCTGAAAATTGTTTTAGAAGGTAGCCGACGGCTCTAAACAATTAAAAAAAAATAAAATTGTGCATTTCATTTGCAGGAGTGTACAGAGTACAATCCTGAAAAGGTCTCTCAGCTGCGGTTTTGCAGGGCTGTGTACTTAGAACATTGAATAAATATTAGTATTTCTGTTCTGTTTTATTTAGAAGAACAGGGCTCCTTTGCCATTTCTGTCATTGAGCTGATTCTGCCTACAACTCACGGCATCCTTTCATGGCGGTGGCTTTCTGTGGTGCAGCTTGCATCTTTGTGAGCTCTTACTCTCCACTTTGTTCTGATGATTTAATTTTTTGTTACTTGTTTGCTCTCACATTTTGTTCCGTGCTTGTCTTTGTCCATGTGTTCAGCATTGTCCAGAGAAAAGGCAAAATTGGCAGAGTTGACTAAAGTGTTACGGTTTTTTTGTATTTGTTTTTGCAGATTCAGCTACTAGTGACTCTGCAAAATCTAAGGTAAACCTTTATACTTCATGTGGAATGCACACTGCCAGCCATGCATGCACCTGCACCTGCTCCTCTCCGCGTTTGTCTGCACTGTCGTTGGTTGGTTGTCTTAGCATGCAGCTTTACGTTAGTCTTGCTGGTAGTGATCTTCCATTCATGCACCTTAGACTGGAGCCCAGGTGTGCATTTGGGGCATATCCCCTGTGACAGCAGCACAAGGCTGAATGTGACTTAAAAGTCAGCGGACAGCTCCTGTGTTGGTGCTCTTCTGTGGGGCTTTGGAATTGGAGCAAGTCGTTCGTGCATTTCAAATGCTGTTAATCCTGTATATCTGCTGATTAATTTTTCAGAGTGGGAAATGTGCCTTTTACTTTAATATGGTCATTTATAGTTGCAGGTTTAAAAAAAACACACTAATTTGGGGATGAAGTCCACTTCATTGAATTCCAGTGAGTCTACATGGTGCCTTGCTTGCACTTAAGTAGGGGATAGTGGGCAGATATGTACATTCCTGATATTTCAGCATGTGAGTTTCTAAAGGTCAAATATGTACATGCTCTGTGCATTGCAAAAGCCACTGAAAGCATTGCAGGTTTAGGAAGAATAGCTTAATAATCCTCGCAGGAAGAATCTGTGAGGAATGGGTACAGTCCCACCAAGTATATTTGGAAAACATTGTCATGCATTAGAAATTGTGTGCTGTGTCATTTCTGTGGCATTTAATGTAGAGCTTGCTTGATTTTTAAAATACCTTTTGATGATCACTTGTGCATTTCTTTGCCACATTTTGGGGGAAAGGGGTCACAATTCATCTCAAAGAAGCCTTTATGTGCAGTGTCACTGGGCTTTTTCAAATCATACATGCCTGTGGAGCGCGCCATGGAAAGCCCTTTACACACTGAGAAGGACTGTGTGCTTTTTACCAGACTAATACATGTTCACCATGGCAGTTTATTCCAGAAGCATTAGGGGAACCAATTCAGAACAGTTAATTGATGGTGTGCTGTTATTAAGGAATCGACTTAGTCGTGCTTAGAGTTGATTCACTGGAATTCAAGGGACTTGCCATGCTTAAAGTCCCATTGATTTCGATGAGTGTGAGTAGAACTGTGCCTAGATCTAACCCAGTCTTATCTGGCATTGGGCCAGAAGGTGAGGGTGGAGGGTGGTTGCTGCCGCCACCTTTGCTGTTGTTGTTCCTGCTGCTACTGTTGCTGCTGTTGTTACTGTTGCTGCTCCTGCTGTTTCTCCTGCTGCTGCTGCTGCTGCTGCTGCTGTTGCTGTTGCTCCTGTTGCTGCTGCTGTTGTCGTTTCATTTTTTGCAATTGTTTATGGCATATTGTCCAACAAATGTTTTGTCAGAATACATGTTTAAACTATCGTGCACAACAAAATACTTCTTAATTTTCTGATTTCCGCCCATGATGATGAATAATGTTTGCATGTGTGTTTTTTTATTCAACTCATGCAGGGTTCTTGGGGATCTGGAAAGGATCAATACAGCAGGGAACTGCTTAAGTCCTCCATCTTTGCAGCAGCCAGTCGCAAGCGGAAAAAAACAAAAGAGAAACCACAGCCTAGCAGCTCTGAAGATGAGTTAGATAATGTGTTTTTCAAGAAGGAGCCTGCGGATCACTCTTCTGGCAGTTCTGCAAAAGAGGACACACCTAAAGAGGAACGGGAGAAGGAGGTGGCACCAAGAAAACCAAGAGCTCTGGTTCCAAAAGAAAAAGAGAGCTATATTCAGAAACTATCTTCAGCAACCAAGGATGAAACTGTGTTGCCGAGAAAAGATCCTGTGCCTTCTGAGGATCCCTCAACACCATATCTCCAAAAATACATCAGATCGCCAAACCTCAGCTTCCGGCTGAGCGCGCAAAAAGATTGCACTAAACCACCTGTCTTTCAAGTCTCTTCCCAGATGGAAGAAACAATCTCTGACTCTGGCACCATGCTTAGCAGTTCTTCACAGGCTTCTCTGCAGAGACTCTCCTGTAAGAAATTGGCCCACCCTGCAAGTAGATGCAGCGAGTTTTTAGCACCTGATGTCAGCTCCATCACATCAGATTACTCCACAACTTCATCTACTACATATCTAACTGGCTTAGATTCCACCATGCTAAGTACTGAGCTGCAGTCAGTGACAGAGAGTAAAGGTGAGGAGGCTGATGACGAAAGAAGTGAATTGATCAGTGAAGGCCGCCCGATGGAAACAGACAGCGAGAGCGATTTCCCTGTTTTTGCTGCAAGCTCTGCTGTGGAGAGGCTGTTCAGGGGGAAAATGCAAGATGTGGCAAAGGGTGGCCGGAGGAACTCTGAAGGAAGTGAAGTAAGTTGTACAGAGGGAAGTTTGACGCCAAAGTTGGAGAGCCGCAGGCTGTTCAGTTCACACAAACTCATTGAATGTGATACACTGTCTCGGAAAAAGTCAGCCAGGCACAAGACAGATAGTGAAGGCTCAGGAGATACCAAGTGTGAGAAGGAGCCACCAGCAGTGACCAAAATGTTTGACATCATGAAGAAGGGAAAGTCAACCAGTAGCTTAGCTGCATCAGCTAGACCGGAGCCTGAAAAACAGGAGCCTACATGGAGGCTCAAGATTACAGACAGGTTGAAGCTGCGCCTCAAGTTGTCTGCAGATGATATGTTTGGAGTTGGCAACCAGAAAACCAACGCTGCAGAGGCCTCTAAGAGAAAGAACATCAGGCGAAGGCACACTTTAGGAGGCCAGAGAGATTTTGCTGAACTAAGTGTTCTGAATGTAAGGAAAGCTCAAGAGAAAAATCCAAGCAAGGAGAAAGATGTCTCAGCAGTGAATCGATTGAAGCCCAGATGTCCAGCACAGGACCTCTCAATTTCAGACTGGCTTGCACGGGAGCGTCTACGCACTAGCACAACTGATCTTAATATGGGGGAAACTGGAGAGCCCAAATGGGAAAGCAGTAGCAGATTAGAGGATTCATCGAAGACAGAGCTGTCTCTGTCTGCAGAGATGTGGGCAAAGGAAGGCAGTTCTTCTTCTAGTAGTAGCTTGACTTTGATTCCTAGAACGCCAGTGTTGGGACCACTCCAGCCATTAGACCACATCAATGGAGAAAGCTACCAGAACATGAACAAGAGCAGCTTCAGCCAGACCGTTGATGCCCATCCACATAAATTATCTGGGACCCAGGTGGTTAGGTCACGATTCTATCAGTATCTTTAAATAGGAGAGGTAAAAGTCCCCTGCAGCAATTCAGAAGCCGTTTCTCTTGTAATCCTTCCTCAGTAGTTCTGTATGTTTTCTGCACAGTGCTACTTTGCAACTATTGGCGGAGGCGTATTCAGTGGTTTGCGCTGTGGAGGAAGCCTTTGCAGAGCATTCAGACAGCCAGAATAGTGGGTGGGAGGGCAGAGTTTAAAATATATATATATAAATAAATATATAAATATATATAAATAAATTTATTTTAAATAAAAGTATATTTGATTGCTGCATACACTTGTTGAACAAAGCATCTAATGCAACATGCTATGTTACGTGTACATGGTTTTTATGACTGACAATTGGCATTAGTATGCAGAAAAAAATATTCTTTTGAGTTTAGTCACTAACAAGTGCCTCATTCCAAAAACAAAAAAACAAAACAAAAAAAAACACATTCATTTGGTTTGTTAGGGTGCCATAATACTTATTAAATTAGAGAATATTAATATAAGCAAATGGATGCATTTTACTGTTAAGACGATTCATTACATTTTACAAATTTTAACACAGGTGGGTACAGAGCTTCCATTCCTTAGGCATTCCAGTTGGATTTCTGAGTTTTATATTCCAATTTTAATACAGTTTTTGAGTTTTATGTGACTTGAATTTTTAATCTTTCTGTAAAATAAGTAACTTAAATGTACATATTCTATGTGTATCTTTTCCTCAGATACCAGATTTGATATAAATGTTGTAACATAGGCGTGTAGATAGTGAATCCTGGATGAAACTGGTTTCTTTTATTGAGAATATAATTCTGCATGCAGACTTTAATGAATCCAAATCTGTATCAAGCCTGTGTGCATACCTGCTTAAAACACTGGAAATAAAATAGTTTTGATGGTTCTTTGCATGGACTGACTTGCATTCTGTGCGAACAATAAATGCCAAGAGTATATCTTTCAGTTCAGTGACTACACCCAGGATCAGCAGATGAAAGGAGGTAGCTGAAAAGGTACATGATATAGGAAACTGCTATTAAAACAACAGGTGGACTTCTTTAAACAGGGCTTGTTCACCCGTTTTATTTGTCAGTGGAGTGGATTGCTTAAAAGGAGGTAATTGATAGCACCCCATAACAGTCTCTGTCCTTGCAAGAGAGGCTGCAAGAGGGAGAACAGCATCTGACATGCTGAAGGCCTTGTGTAAGTACAATGGGACGCCTCTTTCTCTCGGACACGAGTCCTTCACGTTGCACCACAAGCTACTTGTGGCATTTTGGATGAGGTGTTCCATGCAGTGAAAGTGTTTGGCAGGAAATGCCCAGGGCCCCTCTAATTATGTGGAATGTAGGTCAAGTCACACTTCAACTTGACAAGCAGCTGTGCAAGATGGATGGTGGTGTTTCTTGTACTTTCAAAGCTTGGGGAAAAGTCTTTAAGGCCTTGCACGTTTCTTCTCAGCCTGAGTCATCCCACAATACCCTGAGTCACAAATCAGGCCAATTATAAACGAGTACATGCTTTATTGAGTAATTAAGGGGAATGATTACCATAGGAATTCACATTAAATACTTGTTTTAGGTAAAATATTTGAACTAAAATGTATTAAATGCTTTTCATCAAATGTGGCAAACATTGTGGAAAATAGATGGTACGGATAATGATAGCAAAAGTAGGTTTATTAGTTCATGAGTCTTTACCTGAGCTTTTAAAGTAGACCCAATTAGATCTCCGTAAATCGTCTTGGGATAAGTTAATGGTGGATGAGTTTCTAAGGCTAGGGTACAATCTGCCTCAGCCCTTTCCTCCGGATATTTCTAGTGTTAGAGATAAGACTTTGGAATCATTGAGATTAGAACAGGCAGCTATTAATCTAGATACTAGGAGATGTTGCCCCCCTCTTTTGAGGGGGCTTCTCAGCCCCCCTTCCTGTTCTATCAAGTTATTTTACATTTTAACAGGCCCACATTTTATTTTTATACTTCTCTCTGAGTCATCCCAAATCTCGGTTGCTGCCAGTGGAGCTTTTCTGGTGAGGGTCTCCAGGCCACAGGCTGGGGGTTTCTTATACTTGCTGAAGAACCAGACTAACCACCCTGAGCATAATTTTTGGTGGAAAGTCAAGCTAGAGGACAGAGGAAGGCCGCTCACCTGCTGGTTGCTCCAAATAGTTCAGCAGGCCAGACCCGTGGGTGGCTTTTTGGTGTGCTGTTAATGGCTAGTCTCTGCAGCAATGGAGGCTTTGCCTTCAATGAAGGAGGATCGCAGAAAATGATGCTCTTTGCACTGAGCCAGTCGTCTTGTTGCCGCCTCTACCCCATTTTAAGAAATAGGTGTCATTTGTGTCATTTTTTTCCTGGGCAACATGCCCATACAGTGGTGAGGTAAACTGTAGTAATTATTTTTGACACTCTTATCTCCAAGCATTTCAAATGATTTATTTTTTCCCTGGCTTTTTCTTGAGCCATTGAAGTGTCAGCTTGATTGCAGCCACTTGCTTCCTTGCGCCCCCTTGCCTACCAGCAATCCTAGTAGCCTTCTGGCTATAGCGAAGGCCATGTTTCGTATTTCAGTGCTGGCCTCTGAAACCAGCACAGCTGGTTCCAAAAGAGTGACTTCAGGTTTTAGATTCAGTTCATACTACCTTTTGCTGGTTAGTACTTCTGGGTGATGTGAGAATTATCTCCTATCCAAAATCTCAGAGTTTGGTGCACTTTACCTTAGCTTCCTAATCGTTCTCCAACAGCCTTCCCCAACCTGTTAGCTTTCAGAGCCATTTAGACCACAAGTCCCAGAATTTTCATCCAGCAGGGCCATTGACTGGGAGTTCTGGGTGTTGCAGTCCAAACATGTCTGGAAGGCACAAGGATGGGAAGAGTGCTCTACTAAGTTAAAAAAAGATACCTCCTTCAAGATTCTGCTGTCATATTCATCCTTTAAAATCTATTCTGTAGGTGAGTCAAATAGCTAATCATGGGGTGTGGAGAGAACATTTAGGGGACATTTGCGTTAAATTTGCAGTGGCTAAAGTATGTGGATAGGTGCAAATTGGCCATACCACAGTTTAAACAGAGAGATGCGTCTCATGGTGAAAGTGTGACCAGGGTGCCTACCCATTCTGCTGACCAGAGGGTAACCTTGGAAGAACAACTTAAAAGCCCCAGCTGCTCTCCTTACAGTTCTCATCAAAATGGAATTTGGGCTGAGAAGATCTTTTAAGTCATTGCCTTCATATAGAGTCCTGTAGTCTATAAATGGGGGCACTCAGCCACCCTGCTTGCCATCCTGCTTGAGAGATGAGGCCATTGCTTACAAGACTTCAGGCCACGTGCTATGGAACAATCTCCCGGAGGAGGCAAATTTAAGGCCACCAGAAAATGTTGCAAGATGCTTCTGTTAAAAGAAGCATTTGGTGACAGGGCTGGTGCTTGATTCATGAGATTATTTTGTTGTTGCTAGTAGTGTGCTGGTGAGTATAGATGTTTATGTTGTATATTCAGATATTTTGAATTGTCTTAAACATGAGGAAGAGTGAGGCTCTTGTGTTAACCTGCTGTTTAGCATTGTAACTTACTATCTAGGACATTTTACCCTCCTGTTCCCGGTATGTCACATTTACCACCGAAGTACTTATTCTTCATTTCCTCAATAACCTTTCATACAGCTTTGCTTTTAAGAACAAGCTCAGTTAGGTGGTGGTGGTACACTTGTAGCCTTATTGAAGGCAACATCATAGATCCTTAATGAATTCAGGACCAGCACAATCCTATGCATGTTTAGAACAAAAAAAAAAAAAAAAGTTCCCCAGGCAGTAGTGCTGAGCTTTTTTCTTTCCTGGCTCAATACCCTTGAGCACATCACCAAAGCAGCAGCAGCACAGCATCTTACAAAGCAAAAGCTGCATCAAGCATGAAAGGTTGCCTTAGTAAAAGCGGCTTGCCCTTCCTGTTCCTGCCCACAGCTCACGCCATTCAGTTTCTGTGCAACCAGTTCTGCAGCTTCCACCTTCTGGTGGCACATTCCTAAATCTAGATGAAAGCCCAGAGACATGAGCACTGCCATTCCTCTCAAATGCTATTGTCTAGTAATCTGAAATGTTTTCCAGCCTTTTGTGGCTTTAAGAGACCAATGTAGCTGAAGTGGTACAACAGGGACACTTAGTCTTACAGGTCCTGTTCCAGCAAGCCTTATGCAAGGCTGAAGCCCTACTGAAAGAACTGGGGAGTGCTGGGCAAGACTAACTTGGGGCCTCTTGCATTCAATGGGTTATGGACGCACGTCTCTCCACACTTGCTTGGAACTAATATACATCAATGGGACGTCTGCATTCCCATCTACTGTGTATTTGAGCACAATGAGAATGGTTTGGAGCAGGGGCTTAAATTCACTGATCATGAAGCTTATTGAAAATATGTGACAGCTCTGCATGTTAGCAGTTTAAAACTCATCCTAGACCCACCTTTATGACTGTATTTGTCCAATGCAACAAAGCACTTTTATTATTAATTCCAATAGTAACTTGAGAAGATGGTCACTTGAAAAGATGCTAGCTGTATCTGCATAGTTTTCCCTGCTTGCATTGATCATTCTGCTCATGCTCCAAGTTATCACAGAATATTACACATGGAAGACCAGATGGGTTGATGCTTCTCGATGACTGACAGCCTTGGGTTGGAGTTTCCAGGTCAAGGTCAAATCACACATGACAGAAAGCATCTCAATGATGGGGAAATGCAATGATACATGAAAAACTCCTGGGTTTTGCTGCATATAGACACACTGGAAAGCTGTGCTGGGTATCAGCATCCCTACAGAAGTTGCTGTTGAAGCACATACCAGGGATAGAGAATTTGCAGACAGCTAGTTGTTCGAATGAAAATTTTCCACTAGTACTCCCTGTATAAGACATAGTCTGGCTCTCTCCCTCACTCTTGTGTGTAAATGTGCACCCATTTCTCTATTTTAGTTGGGAGGGTCCCTGCTTCAGTGATAGAGCACATGTTTTCCATGTAAAGGGTCCCAGATTCACCCATAGCATCATCAGCTAGGGCAGGAAGATTTTTCTGACCCAAAGCCTAGAATGGTGCTGCCAAGTTGGTAATAATGGACCAATGATTTGACACAGTAGATGGCAGCTTCCTCTGTGTATTCTCCATCCACATTCCCGTGTGTAGGAAAACTGGTCTTAAAGTAAACATGTCCCATGTAGCCAATAGGAGGTTTTGAAAATGGAGAAGTTAATTGATATGTTCCTATGGAGCAGTTGCCCCTAGAGTGCTCCTTCTGACACCTGCACTGAGTTCATGGCCTTGTTGGAATATTTCCACACTGATGCTTCCTGTAGTTCATTGATACTGAAGGGGAGGCTTTTGCCATAATCCTCCTTATGAGTAACTGCATGATAGTGAAGGAGCAACCATGTTGCTGTGGTGAATGAAGTGCTCCAACTAAGCCACAATTTAGTAGTTAACACTTAGTATCACTTGCCTAGAATTGTATTAAAAGCATTTCTAAAAACTGCAGATCTCATTAGGCTAGGCAAGTATTATTTCCATGCAGTGGGTGGAGAGTCAGACATTCAATTCCATAACTCACTGAGTTTATCAGTGGTGTAAAAGTGGAACTTGTCATCTCCTGGTTAATGATTTCCAGCAGAGGTGCAGCCGTCCAGGGATCTGGAGGGAGAAGGAGACAGCACCTCTTCATGGGAATCGGTGCCACACCCCCTTCGCAGCTGGCATGGAAGGCCCTAAACTGGCTGCTTGCTGAGGTCAGGAAAGTGACCTTAGGGAAGTTTTAGGTGGCAAGGAAGGAAGGAGAGTGGGGAGGCCAGGATACACAATCTGCTTGAGCCTCTTAAGTCTTCCCCCATCCCTTTTGATATGCCAGCGCTGGATAGCAAAGACACCCATCCAGCAGAAATGCAGAGCAAGAGGACGACAGTTGCAAATATTGCCTCCACTGTTTTTCTCAACATGCCTTCAAAGAGCTTGAGCCTCTATACCTGGGAACTTTCACTTACCACCACAGGACTGCCCTCTCAGTGTCTGGTTTCTAAGTGACAGATTCAAGTGTGTTCTTAGTTCCCCTCTTGACAGCAAGAGGAACTGGAAATCTTGGATCACATCTATCACAGTGTGTGGCTCATCATGAACATTCAGAAATAAATTCGTGACAAAATACCAAAATGTAAGCATGCAGCCCTTTATTTTTGCAAAGGGTTTTTTTCTTGCATCTGTATATTATATTATGGAGTTGTACAAATAAGATATTTACAAAAGAGCACTCTAGTTTTGCACACAAATTACTTTTTAAAACCATTCTCAGTTCCCCTCCGCCAATTGTCTTGTACAGATCATTTCCCGAAGCAGACTAGAACCATGCATAAAATGGACCTTTGGTGTTGAAAACTATTCTATGTGCCCAGTCACATACAGTATTTATATTTATATTTATATTATTTACAAAGGTTTTTCCATTATACAGAACAGTACAGAAGTGTACACTTTAAAAAAATCCACACTGGAATACTACATGATTTGCCCAGTTCTTAATAAAATGGAAAATGAAGAAGAGGAGACTTAGCTAAAAAGAATCAGCAAATGCCTAAATGTAAAAACAATTTTTCCCTTGGCATCGCAAATTATTAAATATATTCTGAATGGCAGTGCAATAGATTAAGTTGCCTCATAAAGATCAGTGTCCATCCCAACTCTGTGGCTTGTGCAAAGGAAGGTGTTTAACATACTCTATCAAATGTACATTATAATAGTATCAAATGTTTTGGCAAAAAGATTTTTGAAAGTAACCATGAAGGCTTTCTGTTGTTGACAAAAATAGAAATCTGTAACAAATCTGAATAACACTAAAATAAAAGGAAAATATTTTAGTTTCAGTTTATACTTTCGCAATATCACACGATGTTTAGTTCTTGTACTTAAAAATAGCTTTATACAAAACTCACTTTTTAAATACTTTTTTTTCATGCTGGATACATTTCTGTGTGCGCGCGTGCGCGCGCACACACACACAGTCTTCAGTCACACCCTCTGGATGTTTAACAGTTTTGCTACCCTCCCCCCCTCCCTGCAATGCAACGCAACACACACACACGCACACACAAATCCACTCTGGTGTTCCAACAGCAATGGTGCTTACAAAACTATGTTTTTATCTCTAATTTATACTATCAACCCAGAATCTAGCACAAGCGTAGTATTAAGCCTGATAATGATACAGCAACATTGGAACACATTCCTTGGCTACAGGATTGGTTGCAGTGTCATCAGCAACTTAGAAGACTTTGGTGAGCTTGAATAAGCCAGCAATGAGACTTTTAGGATGGTTCCTTGGTGATGGTGGAAGATGGGGGTTTGCTGATGCTTCCATTCTGGGACTTGTAGCTGGTGAAGCTGGGTGTGTGGATGGATCGGATGCTCTTCATACCTTGACTCAGTGATGTGGGAGAGGTGGAAGCGGGAGAGGAGAAGGAGGATGAGGAAAGGGGAGATGGAGGAAGAGGGCTTGGCCGGCCATTTTGGGCCTGTATTGAGAAGGAAATGTGAGGGTGGCCTTTCCCTGTGTGAGTAGGATTCTGGAACTTCAAAGAGCCATTAGAGACAGAAGGGATGAAGGAAGCAGAATGACTGGGGCGCCCTGTTGGAGGACTGAGAGGGTTAGAAGGAGGAAGAGAGGCTTTAGTAGGTGGGCTCGGAAGGTTAGCGTTATCACCACTAGACACAGAGCTATTTTTCCCAGAGGTGGAAGAAAAGGCTGGAATTTTTGAAGCAGACAGGGTAGGGGAAGTAGGCTTATAGTCCCCACCAGCTTTCTTAGCACTTCCATTAGCCTGCAAATAAATAAAGATGGTGGGAGACAGTTTAAGTCAGCATACATGATACACCAAATGGGACTGCATGGGGCATGAGGCTTGCGCAGAGTGAGGAGGAATAGGCCAAAGCCTGCACTAAACCTGGCACTTGTGGGCTGGACCTGGAAGAGCTCTCCCGCTGCCCCCCACTCTCACAGCTACCTGGCGGGAAATGGACAGCAGGACGGAGGTGAGCAGAGAATGGGTGGAAGGAGAACACCAAAACGTCTGGGCCAAGGTCACCATAATGGCCATGCGTCAGGGTTGTTAGGTGAGGGTGGAAACATTTCGCCAGACGGTTAATAGGTTGCGACTGGTTAAACAGGCGTTAGTATCATCAGTTTGATCTGAATGGTTCTCGTTGCTGACCTTGAAAAATTACTGCTGGATACTGGAACAAAACTCAAAAAGCAGGAGATGTTTTACTGCAGACATGCACAAGTATGGTCAAAGGGTAATGCTGTTGTTTAATATTTTCATGCCCCGCAAGCCCTGGATTTCCAGTTCCAGATTTCAATGGGAAGACCAAGTCTGCTAGTTAGCATCATCCAAGTCAGTCTTTTGACTAACACATTTATCAAAGCATACACAAAACAGCGTCAAGTCCATCCCAAGATTTGGTTTAGGGTAAAACTACCTGTCTGTATTGGCGCTGATCCTGTAGCTTGTGTGGTTTACTTGTTTTGTCCACATTTCCTTGTGGTCTACTTTTTGTGGTTGTGGGGACTGGCATCCTGCTGGTCTGCGAAGAGCTGCTTGAAGCCTGTGAGAAAGGTTGGGGTGCAAGGGAAGGAAAGAGATGGTGGAAACAGAGGTGAGCATCGGTCTATTCGTACCAATGGGGACCACACGCCATGGGCAAAGCTGCTTGGTGTGAGAGGCCAAAGTCCTACATGCATAGGAAGCGCCAAAGGAATCCACATCACAAATCACACCACCAGTGTTAATTCCAGTAATCAAAACTGGGGGTAAAGCTCCACTACTGATCAACCTAAATTAGACAGTCAGTCCAAGATTCTGTTGTGCCCACAAGTGGAAGAGTGACCAAGCTTCCTTTGACTGCCCATCACCACATCTGCAGGAGATACAGATATATGGATATCTATTTTAATGAAACCACACAACTTATTAGCTGTTAGACACCTCGTGGATGCACCAAACAAGCCACCCGAAAGGAAGCAAACCAATCAGAAGACACCTCTTGCTTAATGGTGATTATTACTGCAGATTTTAGAAAGCAGCTGGAGTTGTGATTTCTCATACTAAAGTACCTTACGTGAAGTTGGTGGCATTGATGGAGGAAATTCACCATCAGCAGTGCTCTCTTCCAGAGCTAAGGGTTCTTTTGGTGAGGAAATGCCCGAGACAGAAGCTTCCTCCGAGTACCCTGTGGCTTGAGACACTGGTTTTGGGCTCATCTCACTAATGGTGTTCTCCAGCTGCTTAATGGTTTGCTCCAGACTGTCCAAAGTCCTGTAAGTATTTTTCCTGATTTCTTCAGTCCTAGAGGTCTGGGCTGACATGTTTGTTTCCTGCTTCCCAGAAGGGTCCTCAGGCTGAGAACTGGGTATTTCAAACCGCTTTGCTTCTTTGTGCTGCTTCAGAGTACCGTCTTCCTCTTCCTCTTCATACACTACCACTTGCAGAGTTTTCTTGCCAGTTTTTGTTCCTGTGCGTATTGCCTGAGTAAGAGCAGCCAGCTGCTTTTTAGGAAATTTGAACTTAAATTTTTTCTTCACATCAGGAACATCCAGCTTTGGTTCTGGATGTGGACCATAAATAAAACTAGAGTTCCCCAGATCCAACTTGTCTGTTTCCTGCCCTCCTGGTGGTGTGGCTTGAGCTGATGACACAGATGGAGAATGGAGTCCAGGCTGTTCCTCCGAGCTGTGATTTCTCATGTAATCAGACAGGTGCCTCTTGCTCGTATCTGTCTGGACGACTTCTGCACCCTGACTATCAGGTGTGTCAGATTCTTCATTTTCTTCCTCCTCCTCTATCTTCTCTTCTGTCATCATTTTTTCCAGCTCTTCATCACATTCCTCAAATATTGTTGACAGTCTTTTATAAGCCGATCGGATGTCCATTGGTTCATCAAAAATGATGATGACTGGCTTTTTGTCCAAGCAAACAACCGGTTCATCACTTTCGGGGTTCTCCAGCTGGCCTTGCTGGGATGCTGTTTCCTTTCTGGAATCAATGTTGACTGTCTGCACTTCTTCTCCCTTCCTGTTGACTATATCATGGACCTCTCCGCTGGACAGAAACTGCACTGCTGTTTTGGTGATCATGAAAGCAATGTTCTCTGGTGGTGGGTTTTCTTCACCAGGGGAGCTGGTTGGTAGCTCTACCTCGTCAATGTTATTTACGGTACAATTCCTAGATACCTTATGCCTCAGCACAACTTGACTATAGCCACTAACAGCCGTTTCTTGCACCTGTGATGACTGAGGAGCTAATGAGACTTCCTGAGCATGTGGGTCTGTTTGTCTGACAAGGAGCACTCCTTCACCTTCCAGGAGCTCATTCTCTGATGCTCTACAACCAGTCTCTTTTACTATGCCAGAGTTTGGTTCTTGCCTTGCAGTTTCTACTGCTGGATACTGCACTTCTTCAACCCCCCTTTTTCTTTCATTTGCTAACACACTGGAGAAGTTTGTGTTTGGCTTAGGATAATTTTGAGGAGGGAAATCCTTATTCTCCAAAAGCAAAGCTCTGCTGAAGGCAGCGTTTTCAGTGATGCGGGAAGCATCCCGGACCATCGCTTCTGTGTTGTCTTCAGTCTTGTCCTTGGCATGGTCACTATCTTTTGTTGCCTCCCCATCCACCTAGGGGGAAGAGTTGCATTACTTAGTTATTTTGTAAAAGGTCGGGAACATCTCCCCCCAGTTAATTGGCACATCATCAGAGAAGGCACGGACAATGTGAACATGCCTCTCCATACATCAGTGTAGAGCCATTTCCATGGTCTTCAAGTGGTTCCTGTACCTCTTCCAGGGTAAATTCCGAATTCTGGTAGGATGGTGTATTACATGTTACTGCACAAAACTATCTGCAGACAACATGGATTTCAGATGGAAATGGTCCTTTAAAACCCTCCATGGAGCTTTTGTCCTCAAAGATTGCTTACCATGTGTAAAGCATCTCTTTCATCCTGGTCTGGATTAGATTCCCTTTTTTCATCAATCGTTTTGTATGAAACTGAAACCTTTCATTTAGGTAGCTTTGGCTCAACTTTGGCCCAAAATAAATCACAAGGTACACAATGATTCCACAACCATTCTGGACCTGTATACTTACAGCTAACATATAACGCAGTTCTCCAATCTAGGTAGCTTGGCAAAGCCTTCTGGTATAATCACCGTGTTGCCAAAATACTACGCATCTGTCTGTGTCTGATGACTTTTCAAGAGTAAATTCTGTACCAGTACGCAGATCACCTCTAAGAATGTAGCCAAGGTCTGTACTTATTTTGTAGGGAAAAGGCCTACAAAAAACAAGCCAGACCAAATCTAGCCCTGACCCAACAAGGTGACATATCCTTCAACCAGGGTTTTGCTGAAGGAGCAGCAACCAAGGGAGAGGAGAGCTCTTTCCACAATGAGATAAAGCTCAGCATCACCATTTCCGCTGAAAATGGATCCAGTACTTCTGCTGACACAGCCTGTACCATGATCTCCTATGCCATATGGCACACGTCCTTCTTGCCCACTTTAACCTACTCAAGTTGCTGCTCCTGCTCGCAGCTCTGCAGGAGGCCAGGAGTAGTCTTGAGTATCGGGGCTCATTTATGACCTGTGCTTTACAAATGCAACTTCAAAGGAGCCCGCTGCAGGAAGGAGGACTCTTTTGTCTTTGCAGCTCACTGGATGTCGTTCACAGTGTTCTGTACCTGGTACTGGAAAGACATTCCTGACTTTGTTACCTCTAGTCTTCACTTTAAGCAGAACCACAGGAGGACATGAAATGGTGAGATCTACTAAAGAAGCATATCTGCAAACATTTTCCAAATTTGACTGCAATTTGGGAATATGTCCCACAACCATTTAAACTAAGCAAAATTGAATTTTACTTGTGTTTATATTGTACATCTCCCATTAGCTACAGAATGAATAACACATCTTAGAAATAAACACATAAAGGCATAACTGCATACTTCAGATAAGAGTCAAAGAACAGTTCAAGTGTAAATTACACGACCGTTAAACTCCACAAGAGACTAACCACAGCCCATTTGTACCCCCTGTGACATTCAAGTGTGACGTGTTCAGCCATGAAGTTCAATCTCTGAAATCAGGATTACTCTTCGGCAACACCAAAGCTATTACAGATATACATGATCAACCTGCTTTTCAGTGCAGATGTCTTGATTTCAAAACACACAGAGATCACAACATATCGGGCTGAAAGAGAGCTGGCAGTGCATACAGACAGTGCATAGCTTACCCTTGCTACTACCAGACATGCACCATCCATTAGCAGGTAACACAGACCCTGATCCTTATAAGATCAAATTCCAGAGAAAAGACAAAGTGCCATGCAAGCCAAGCCACAGGCAAGAAAGGAAAAGCACAGGTGGGCCTTGCATGGACATAAGGGCTAGATCCAGAGGCAGGTAGAATTTTTGTGGCTGGTGGAGATGGGCTTCCCTCCCCTTTCTTCCCACGTGGCTCCTCCAGGCCCCAGGGATGAGCCGGGTGTGTGTGGAGAGCAAGAGAATTTTCAGAAATGAGCAGAGGGTCCTCCCTCTTGCAAAACACCCATTCCCCAAGCAGAAGGCCATGCCGGCTTGCCCATGTTGTCATGATACCCTAGCTTCCAGGAACCAGAAACTATGACCAATTACTGTTAAAGCTAGATGTTTTCGTGCTAGCAGAGTGCAACCTGCCAAGCAGAGCACAGGAGTGCTCACTGGCTGTGTGCTTGTCTCACCAGCTACAAATATTCAAGGAACCTCTGCTTGAGACTTTGGGTAAGTTAGGTGAAAGGAGGCGAGATGAGCACCTTGTCAGTCCTCCAGCCTTGGAACCCTGCTGGGCACCTGCCACATTGTCTCCCTGCTTCAGGGACTCGACTCCACTGGGGGCTGCCCTGCTTGAAGAGCTCCACCTGAGGGCTTGGCTGTCTTGGCTGATCTTTGCCATGAAGGGTGGGTGGGTGGAAGAGGATGGCCCAGCTTTTGAAACAGAGAGCTGATCCAGATGACCTGCTGTTGTGCCTGAGTTGAATTTACAGTTGCAAGCTTTTTAATTGCTCCAGTCTGACCCAGATCAATATCATCCCAAAAGACTCCGATTCTTGAGAGAAAAGGTGGTGATGCATTTGTTGTGGCGGATAATGTGCTTCGAGCGTCAAGTCCCATTGGGCTTGAAGGCAACTTGAAACCTGGAGCCTTTGTCCTTCTTTTCCCATTGGAACAATTGTGTAGCGCTGCTATTACTCTTAAAATAATTTTAAGGTGCATCCTTTGGAAGCCTGCATTTTTCTCCAGGCTGGCTTTCATCTCCTGGGTTTCCAAATCATAGTAGTACTAAACTGGTTTGTGAATAATGCTAACCCATGGCTTACTTAGCCCACGGCCAAACTACAATTTGTTGATTTTTTCTGACAGATGACTGATTCCCCCCCTGCCCCCCGCCAATCCCTAGGTTATTTTCCATCCTCTTTCATCCACTCCCTCCCTACATCCCACATTCCTTCAAGATGCTGTAGCAGTGGCAACTTTGTTTGTATTAACCACTCTTGTATGCTGTTTCTGTAATCTGGTAAAACAACTTGTGAACAATCCACAGTTCTGGGTTCATGTGTAGCAACAACCCACAGTTTGAACAACTCAGAGCTCAAAAGACTGGCTCTCCGGCTGGGCTGTACAGAGTTAACAAACCTTGGTTTGTCAGTACAAACTGCATCTGCACATCATAATAATTCGGAATTCCATGGTTAAAGACCCAAGGAATCAGGTCACTATAAAATTGCTTGTTTTGAAGAAAAGTAGGAAAATACTTTAAAATCAATTTTAACAAAATACGATATTGCAGTCCAGTCCTGCCCATCTTTATTCAGACATTGTCCCCATGGGGTCAGTGTGGTTTACCCCGAGACAAGTGTGCACAGGGTTACAAAATTTGAAGAACTCTATCAAAACATTTCCCCTTTCTTTTTATTTTTCCTTACTTGAGATTTTTTGGGCCAAAGGATATTTAATTTAAAAAAACTGGTAGGACAGTAAATGTTCAAGAACTTTAAAATGTATTTAGATCACCATACTTAAACCTAGCACTCTTTCTTGGGTTTCAAGAAGACAAATAACATCTCTCAAAAGTTTCAGACCATGCCAGGCACTTTTACTGTTGTCATAGAGCTGTTTGATCTTATTTTATAAACTTTGTTTTTCTAAAGCCTACCAAGGTGGGTCATAAATCTAGATTTTTTTAAAGAAAACACTGCAATTATTGCACACAGAGAATAAACAATACGCAAGGTGAGAGGTTAGTTAGAAGCAAAAGAAGAAGGGGAGGACAAGAGGACGTGGCAGAGTTCAAAATGCCACAGTTACCTTCTTCTCCTTGGGATGCGTTAAGGACACATGCCTTGCATCTTTTGTATGTGTGTCATTTCTGGGATGTTCAACATGACTGTTTGAGTTTACATCCATGTAAGAGTACTTCTGGAAAGCCTAGAGAATTAAAATATGGCATGTTCAAGTATGAACGAAGACCTCTTTCAAGTATGAGCAAAACTCCCCATGAAGGTTAGCAGGATCGTTGTACAGATCCTTCTGCGAGCTGTTCCAGTTGAGCAGGGCTTTTTCCTTCCTCCTCTTGCAATGGTCTTGTTAAGTATCAGCCCATCAGTCTGGGCAACATAAGCATATACACAGGCCTGCAATTTCTGGCTGGGCTCTGTACTGAAATTTCTCTTAGCCAGACATGCAGTTCAGTACCCATTCAGCACTGCATGGATTTCTCAACACAAATATTGTCTGATTAAGCTACACGAGTTAGGGTTTATACAGGCTGGTTTTCTGGTTTGACTGTCAAAAGTTAAGGAATGAATCCCAGGCTAAAGTGAACAATGTATTCCCCACCAGTATTTTCCCCTACAAATACATGTTTTGTGTAAGTTCAAGTATTTAAAAACATCTGGGGAAAATATGGAATTCAGCTGGCCATGCTTATTTTGATTTTCTTGTGTAGAAGTGTTTTTACAAAAATGAAGGAACAAGGATCAAATTTTCCAAGAAACAGTCCTGTGACACTTTTAGTGCAAGGGTCAAATACAATTTCAGGAAAGTCCTTGCGGGAGAATTCTGGGCAGAGCCAGATATGCCAAAAGTACCAGGCTGGGGGTGGGGATCCTTGCTGAAAGCTTTTACTGCCAATGGCAGAGCCACAGGGGAAGCACGGGGCTCTTTTGGAATGGGTGGGGGACTGAACAGAAGCTGGAAAGCCCCCAAGCAACCAGCAGAGCTATGTAGGCGAGGTGTGGCGGGTCAGGGCACAAGGCGTGGGGAACTACGGCACCCTGTTGAGCTAGACAGATCCCAGGTGGTGGAGACTTGGCCTGTGGGCCCGCCCTGCTTTCCAAGACTGGAGGTTTTGTGGCATGAGTTTTCACCGGCTGGAATCTACTAACTGAAACCTCACTCATGGAGTTTATAAAAGCTATACTAGGGTTGTTTATTCCTAACCAGAATTCACAATGAAACTGGACGAAGGCCCTGTTCCCTCTGACTTCCTTCCTGTGGGAGTGGGGGAGCTTCAGGTTCTTGTGGATTCAAGCACCTCCTCCTGGCTCCCTTTGCCACCGCCTCCACTCTAACCAACACAGAAGGAAGAGCAGCAGCTGCACCCGTCTGTGGCAGCTGGAGGGCTGTGCGGAGAGATTCCCGACTGGGCAAGGAGACGTGCGCCGTACGGGGACACTCCAGACACTGACTCTAGGGCATAGGGTCACTCTCTTAGGGCCCACGGAAGGATGCTCCATTTCGTCCTCCAATAGCCCATTGGATAAATGGCTCTGATCCTGTCATTTTACTTGCAATGTCTAGTGAGAAAATCCAAAATTGGGCAAGATGCAAAACTTAATGCAGCAAATTACTAACAAGACTTATTTTTTAACGAAATCTGCTCCAAATGTGAAAGGATGCAAGAAGCCTGCTGTCCATCTGTCTGATTTATAACAGTTCCCAGTGGCTTAGTCTGTAACTAAGATTGCAGTCCTATAAACACTTACCTGGGAGTAACTGCCACTGAACACAAGGGCATTTACCTCAGAGTAAACAACCATAGGTTTAATTTGTGTGTACCTCAGGCAGCATTTGGACTTAGCAATAAAAACTCGAGTCTGCAGTCCCACTCTCCCCCCACCCCCCACATCAAGATGCCTCTCGCTTCTGGCTTGTTGCCATCACATCTGAAACCAGACAAACTAGGCTTAGCTTCAGTTTCAAATCATGGATCAGGGAGCTGTGTTATTTGAACAAAAAGGAGCTAAGGTCAACCATAGCTTAGGGCTGAGGTGTAAATCTAACCTGCGGTTAATAAAAACATGGAAGCAAAAGCTCCTGTCAGCTCAGAGATGGACAGGGAGGGGCAGGGAACCTGTGATGAGCTCCCACATGGAAAAATAATTTTCCCATGGTTTATTGCTATGTCCTAACACAGCCATACTGAGTATTTGATCAACAAAATTTCTCCTCTGGTATGCTAAAAAGCAACCACAAATGTTTCATTAGAAACGTTGCTGTTTCTTTCTGTTTGCAATGTGGCCCTTGGCCATTCAGCCGCTGGCTCCAGAGTCAGAACAGAGGGGCTGCAAAAGGGCTGCAAACTGAAAGCAGCAATGACACACCAACCACATTTCCCTCCAGGGGAATCCCGAGTTGCTCCAAGCGATTCGCACAGACAAGTTTTCACTTGCTTCAGTTTCCCCAGCCAAGTGACTTACAGCTCCTATCATCCCCATCCAGGATGGCCATGGGTATGAGAGCTGTTGTGCATCGCAGCTGGAGAGTGCGAAGTTTGGGAATGGCATTTGCCTGCTTCAGCTGCCCCTTCCAAATGCGGGCTAAGAACAACAAAACACCATATGGAGCTTGTGATAGATATCTTCCTAATGCATTTACCTCTCACCATCACCTCTGTGTTGGGACGGCTGGCAGTGCTGAGGGCCAATGGAGATGCTCTTTCAATATCATGAATATTTGTCTTCCGTAATCTCTGCTGGGAAGAGCACCCCCTGCCTCCCTCAAATGTGCAGTCAACCACAAAGACGCATCAGCCAAGCTCAGGCTTGAATAATCCTTTCTGACCAAAGGATCCAAAATCCAAATCACCAGAATCAAACTCAGCTTTGGCAGGCTTTTGGTCATGACTGAGTCCTTACTCAGTCCATGTTTTTCCAGTCCTCAGTCCAACTCGTAGCCAAAGATGAAATTGATGTGCATAACAGCAGGTTTAGAAAGAAACTTTTTGCTCGCACCCCATTCACTTACCTCCACGGCCATATTCAGATAAAAGTTTGGCACATGATTCACCATGTGTGTCTCTCCTGCACATGCGCCACTGGTGAGCTCAAGTGCGGTGGGATCTAGACAAGACACATTCCCCAAGGTCGTGCTTTAGATGTGTAATCAAATGTTCAACCTCATACCTGTAGTTCTGCCATTATTCTATCTCCTTCTTCCTCTTCCTCATCCTTTGCAGGTGGAACTGTGCCCAAGACTGGCATTTGAGGAGAGGCTCCATCTTCCTTAGGTACTTTGGGCTGTGTTCCTTGATGTGTATCTTCACTGCTTTCCTAAGAATAGTAACGAACAACCAATGGGTGAATTCACATGATGTGGCAACCCATCTTGCAAACAAGCTACCCAGGGTGGATTTTTTGTGGAACAACCTAGAGCGCACTCAACAGGTGATAAGCTCCCTGCGTTACCACTGGCTACTTTCCCTCAGCCCTCCTGCTGGTACCCCAGGGACCTGGCGGCTGAAACCTCAGCATGGTGTTTGGAAGCCACTGCTGGAAGCCCCACTTGCAGCCCCTCCAGTGTGCCTGAGAGCCACCATGAAGGGGCTTTCAGCGGTTCGCCATTTATGGGGGTTTTGTCTTTTGGCACCACTGAACATGTGTGAATGTCTTTGTGCTTTTTTTAACAACAAAATAACCTACTTGCATCGCCCAAGCAGGCTTTCTCATTTTAGTTATCTGGAGTTATGAAGCTGTGCAGCTATGGAAATCCACAGATACATGCATGCATGCACATATAAATAAATTTGCAAATATATCTGAATATACACACTTGTTTAAAAAAAGAGGCAACGAACCACTGACAGATCCCCCAATGTGCCGCTTGTGCACTGTGGAGAGACTATTGCTGACTCTCACTTCAGAGACCATCAAAAGTGATCTCTGGAAAAAGCGGGGAAGTGGGGCAGGAGGCGTGTGATCAAAAAGAGCATACAACTGCAGTGGGGAAGAGCGAGCCGGCGACTGTGTCTTCAAAGTGCCACTTGGTCACCTGGTGGAGAAACTGGCACTGGCAGTAGCTTGGGCAAACTTGTCAAGAGATGCAATGGGTTTTTGCTGTCCTTGCTCAGTGGCTTGGTCACTGCCTCCCTGGTTCGCAAAGGGATCAGTGCCCAGGTTCAGATAATGTGACAACTGACCATGGGTCCAACAACCCTTAGAAACCATGGACCTTCAGGGTGGCTTGGTGCCTTCAAATATGACAGGACAACCCACCACAGCTCATCCTCCCTGATGGGTTGCTGTGTCATGTGAAGTCAGTTTGATCAGTTGAAGCAATTTGATCAACACCTATTTGGAAATATGATGCTTGTCCTCTCTGATCTCTAATTCCTCTAATTTTCCATTCTGGGAGAAAGCACCGCCCCATTAGAAGCTCCAAAAGAAATTAAATCCTAATTCTAACATTTGAGATTTTACAGCACACACTGTGTGAAAGATAGATGGAAGAGAAACAATTTTATGTATCTCCTTCCTTCCTTCCTTCCTTCCTTCCTTCCTTCCTTCCTTCCTTCCTTCCTTCCTTCCTTCCTTCCCTCCCTCCCTCCCTCCCTCCCTCCCTCCCTCCCTCCCTCCCTCGGACTTTGAAACTAACAGATGGGTTAAATGAACAAACATGAATTCACTTAAAAGGTTTCTATGGCACTTTTCTCTCTGATTGATTTCTTCCATCTGTGTAAGACATTTGAGTTCTTCTGTATTATTTTTAATTACTCAGACATGCATAGAATGAAAGCATCTTGCAAATTTCATTCCACGTTCTCATAAATAAGAATAAAGGAAGGAAAACTCTCTTAACGGAAGGACCAGAGAAAATGAATTGGTTGATTTGCATTATTATGCTATGCATTTCCTGTGTTTACTTAGAGTCAGGGCAGGATCCTATCAATTGTGCCTGCTCAGAAGCCCCCACGTTCTTATGATCTGCCAGGCTGAAGCTGGCACAAGAGGAGAAATGGTGGAGGCACCCTTCCTCCACCATTGGGTGGGTGCCTCACAGTGGGAAGGAAATTGGCTGGAGAAGTCTCCAGATAACTCAAGCCTTGATTTTGCCAGTGTCCCCTTCTCCCTGCCCACCAGAGTACCCCCTCTCCTCCTCTGAACTCGCTTTTCCAACCTCGAAGAGGCAAACGGTGCAGTTCCTCCTTTGCTGGCTGAAAGGGAAAGAGGCTTGGGATTGGATTCCTGACTTACTGCTGAGGTCAGCGTGCCGCCTGCCACTCTGCAGGGGCTTTCTGAGCCGTCTTGTGGTCCCTGCGATGCTTGCCAGGGACCCCCAAATTACTGCCACGGATGTCTCTCAGGGCCACATCACATCCACACACAGACTGACACACACAAGCACCAGCAATGCTCAATTCTTGTGAGTGACTAAAGCAGGGGAGACTATCTTGTCCAAAAACGTTTCCTGTTCTGGATATCTCATTTGCCCAACTGCCTAATCGTCAGACCTTGGCCGCTGTGCTGTCCTTCCTGGTCACGTAGCTGATCTCCCCCAGTCTCGCGCTGAGCCCCGGTCCCAGCAGATGGGTGCGGCGTGGAGGCGGGGGAGGAGGAGACTTCACTGGCTTTTCAGCATCCTGCCCTGTGCTTGGAGTCTCTTCTGAAAATAAAATGCGAGACAGCCTGGTCAGTGCAGTGCTTTCAAAATATGCCCTGCCATGCCCAAGTAAGGTTAGGCTCTGCTTATTCCAGTGGGAAAGACTTAAGGCTGCACTCAGTGCTGGATATGAAAACCTGTCCCACAAAACTCTGCTCCAAGGACCTAAGAGGACTGCTCTTTGGCTCCACTGCACCTGGCGCTAACATGTGGGGCACTGCTTTGTGGGGAAGAGGCTACCTATCTGTACAAAGGACTTAAAATCCTCCAATAGAGCATTTCCTAAGCCCAAACACCTAAACATTTCCTCTCATGTCTAAAAGGAGGTTAAAAGAGCCTAGCCACAGAAACTCAACCAAGAGTGATCATATGAAACCTTACCAAAGACTTCTAATTTTTCGGTTGTATCAGCTGCTGCTTGTGCAGGCATCTCGAGGTTTGGGATTGATTTCATGATATTTGCTTGTGCTTCTTCTAGGAGTCTTTCAAACTCCTTTCCATTATAGTGATCCCGGTTCTGACGTTTCTCTTCCCATTTCTTCTCTGCTTTCTAATTAGAAGCATAAACCCAGAGTGGGAGATTGAGTTTGGTCTGCTTCCGTATTTAAACTTTTACATTTATAGGCTTGAATCCAGATTTAGTCATACTTAAAGCAGGACCATCCAAATTAATCTGCTTTTAAGATAATCATCATTTCAAAGCATGCATAAAGTATGACTAAATCTGGACCCAGCCCATGAACTATGCTAAAAACTAACTAGCTCTGCCAAAAGCCTGTCCTTTGCGTGCTTTCCCAGTGATGAGATATTTGCTCTCAAGTCTTCCACAGGCAGCAGTGACCTCTGGTGTCCATAAAACTCCCCTGTCTAGAGCAGTTTCCCCGTTTATTTCAATGGAAACAGCATCTTCCCTCAAATGAGCCAACGTCACCACGCCAGCTGCATGCGCAGGGCTGTGTGTACCCCGTGCTTTAAGAGAACTGGCCACCAGGAGAGGGTGGAAATTCCTTCCCTTGGCAGTAGAGAGACCTCTCCTCCCTTTGTTACAGTCCCTGTTTTCTCCCTTGTCTCTTGACATGAGCAGAGACACAGTTGTATCATTCTGTTTGCACAGTGGGAAACTCACAAGCAGGACATGAGGGCAAGAGCATCCTCACTCCCATGGTCCCCAGCATCTGGTGTACACAGGCACACCACCTGTGATGCTAAAGGTGGTATACAACCACCAGAATGTGTAGTCAGTGAAAACTTTAGCCTCCATGCATCGAATCCCCTTTTTAAGACCGCCCAGATTGGTGACCATCACCTGGCCTGGGACCATGTGCTGTGTGAAGAAGCCCTTCTTTTTAATCCTTCCTTGTTCTAAGGTGCCAAACCAGGGACACTAAAATGCCACCCGGTTTGCTTTTCTCCACCCCTCTCTCGTGTCCCTCTTCCTGTACACTCTCTACTTCCCTAGCCACTTCCAGGCATGTCTAAATGGCCGCCCTGTCTTAAAATGCACCTCGTACCTCAATTGACAGAGCTCTGTTCCTTGCACTGGCGTTGTGAAGCTCCTCGATGAAAAGGCTTTGCACGGTGGAGCCATTCACCGAGACGTGGGGAGAGTGTGGGGTCTGGGCTGGTGGGGTGGCCGTGGCTGCCAGCGCAGTGGCGGGGCTTGGGTGGGCTGGCCCAGGAGACCCTCCTGCAGGGCTGCTTGCCGGCGGGGACGCTGGGGCATGGCCGAGCAGGGCCGAGGAATGCTGAGACTGGTGGGGGGCCACCGGGGAGCTTTGCATGTGGTGGCCCGTCATCGGGGGGGCGGGGGCCACGGCGGACTTGGCAGAGGGCTCCGCTGGGGGCTCCACAACACTCTGCTCTGGACAGGCGTGGCTGTTTGCGACGTGTTCCTGGGTTCTCAGAACTTCCGCGGCTGTGGCTTTCTCCATGGCATTGTACCGTGCAGCCTGAGAGAGATCCACGCCTTTTAGCAGGCTGTCTGTAACGTGCCTGCAAAAGAGGAACGGCCGTGCTGTGAGGCATAACCTGCAGGTCCCCACTCCTCTTCTCCCAAAAAGGCTCCTCTAGTGACGGTTCCTGCTCATGAAAGCCATTTCAGCTGAACAGACCCTCTATCCTGACTCTAATAGCCAGAGGATTCTGGGTGGGATCCAGATTTGTGCTGAAATCCAGTGCAGTGACAAAAGTAGATTTCTCTGCCCTGCCTTCTGACAGCAGCTCCCTCTAGTCTCCTGGAACAGCTACACAGAGAATCAGAAGCCCCTGCTGAACAAGACGATCGATGTCGTGGGGGAAGCAGAGAAGCCCCCAAAATTGGGCAGACAAGCCTTGCCTGAGCAGAACCCCTCTGCTAGTGGAAGATGCACTCCTTTTGCAGAAGACAAATCCTGGATGGAACCCCGCAAAGTGTTTCCTTTTTAAGTGGGTGAAGTTTGCAATACAACATCATATAACAGCTCTCACCACTGTGTGCAAAGTGTCAGGGCAACAAGGCTGAGCATCGCTATAAAGGCTCTGCAGTCCACAGGGACCTGTCATCAGGCCTACCCTGCAAGACTGGCTCTTCCCTTGCAGAACCACCAGGAGAAGGATAGGAGAAAAGCTTGCACTGGTGTTGTTTGGTGAGGATTTGCCTAAAGGGCTAATAACTGGGGGGTCCAAACTAGAGATATGGTGGGTCTGCATTTGTGGCTTCTCGTCAAGGGCCTGCACCTCACGATTTAATATGAAACCACTGAATGAAGCGGCAAGGCACACAACAAGCAGGGCAACCGACACATACAGAAGGTGTTCCTGCAAGTGGGAGCACTGGTCAGGGAGACTGGGAAATGGATCCAAGGAGCAGGTCAGGGCCCGTCCAGCACTTCAAGTCATCTGACAAGGCGCTCCTGGTCACGCAACATGAGCCTGAGGTTTGCTCCCGTTGTGTAGAGCGGAGTATTTAGTGCGGAGCGGCCCAGCGGGTGGAATGTGCTTCCTCTCTGAGACTAGATGTGCACCGGCAATTCTCGTTTGTAGGAGCATGCATTAAATGCATAGTTACACCTACATTTATGCAAACCTTCCTGGTGTAGTTGCCTACTGTTTTGGTTCAATTCTTCCCTCCATCCAATTCAGTACGAGCAATACCACTAACAAAGAATTCTGAGCACATCTCTATAATGCCCAGGCGTCCTTGGAGGGAGCCAAGAGAGCTGACGAAAACTGAGCTGAATGGTCGGTTTGTCTGATTTCTGGGTTAGAAGTATTGATTGCAGGGAGCCCCAGATACTTCCACTGAAGAAGCCCATCACTGAGCATGCCGAACTCCGTTGTGCTGGTTAGTTTCTGCTGTGTCAGCTTCACTTTTTTAGTGACCAGGGCTTCTTTTTTCCACCGCAGAGTGACATGGTTGGCCATGTCAGGTTTTACATACTGCGAGTGTTACATGACCCATGAGGTCTGGTTATGCCCTGGCATGATCGGGGAAAGTGAAGCAAGCTGAGAGTCAGGGCAATGCTTTTCAGGCTGGCCACACGGGACAAACAATACGAGTGGGATGCTGTAAATTGGTGTCCGGCAATAGCAGGGGATTGGACCCGATGGCCTTCATGACCGCTTCCAACTCTGCTATTCTATGATACTAGGAACGAGAGGTCAAGAGAAGCAGATTCTGAAACAGGCAAACTCTTTTATCCCTTCACAGCGATTTCTCCCAAATCTCTAGTGGGTGGAAATGGTCATGGCAACTGGTATTAAAATAATGTGCATTTGTTGTGGGTACAATAGCAATTATATTTAGAGTGAGATATGGAGAGATGTACTTCATCAGTATCTGCAAAAGATGCATCAGGGTCAGACCCAGATTTAGTCATACTTAAAGTAATCCCACTGAAATAAATAGGGATTAAGTTTGTTAGGACTACTGTTAAGTATGACTAAATCCAAATACAAGCGTCTGTCTTTCCTGAATGGGTGTGATGGATGCTGGCATCTGTATCAATCATATATATATATATAAGCAAACAAACCCTGTTTGGACTAATTTAAACAAAGTACCTCCTAAGGGTAGTGAGGGTATCAGTCATGCACCGGACCCTCTTCAGGAGGATGTCTAGCTTATGGGGTTCCTCCTTTAAAAATCTCACAGCTTCCACCTCGATGCGAAGAATGGCTCGCATTTTATTTTGCAGTGTTGGAAATTCACCTGCAAAGATAAGAATCACAATATCAAACAAAAAAGAAGAATGGGAGTAGGGAAAAGGGAGAAACCTTAATATTTACCCATAACCATGCGTGAAATTCTCAACTGTGTGGGTGAGGAGAATCAAAGCGATCATCTGAAAATATTGAATAGGAACAATATTTCTTTGGCTTGTGAATCAAAAATGCACCCCAAGCAATCCTGTGCCATGGAAGGCTTTTGGATGGAGAACTCCTATCTTGGAAGCCCCTTCCCAGGGAATGCAGAAATGCCTGCGTCTCTTCCTTCCCGGCCACAGGAGCTCTGATCATGGCCAATGCAAAGTTTTCTCATGTACTTTGGGCAGCTAAAAGGCAGATACTACAACATTCAAAAGAGTGGATATCATATGCATGGTACTCTCAAATAGAAAGGTGGATGGATGGATGGAGATATTTGGTCTGACTTTGTTGAAACTTATGTACAAATTTATGTATATGCATAAGTTATTGTAAACTGCTTAGAGGGCCCTCAGGACAATATAGCAGAATATAAGTATAATAAACAAACAAACTGCATAAGTTAAATTTATGCTGGGATGTATGTTTCTTTAGAGTTTGTTTTCCTTTGTTTCAGTGAAACTCACTATAAAAAAAATGAAAACAGACAAAGAAACCAACATTGGAATTGTCATGGCAGGATAGGAGAAAGATTTGATCAAAAGCCCTTCTGTTCTACAAACACATCCCGGAAACTTACACTGATTCTGGAGCTGGCATAAATACGCCTCCCACAGTAGGAAATCAGAAAGCAGCTGGGCAGGGGGCATCCCCCAACCACCCGTGGAATGGGAACGCAGGTCTCCTACTTCCTCAACCTTTCAGTTGTGGCCAACTGATTTTTTACCCTTTCCTCTTTTGCACTACTCTGCACCAGGCATGGGAAATTTTCCTTCTGGGAAGGACCACATCCAAGGTCCGCATTCCGCCAGTGGGCAGCCCAGAGCCATGGAGGACAGGGTGGCAGAAAGGTTCCTTTTTGCTTAGGACACAACAGAAAACAGAAACATTTCAATCCAGGCATTCACTTTCCTGAACTCACTTTCCTGAAAGTTCCCTCCAATGGCTTTAAGGTTGGGGGACAGAACAGAGGAAAATAAAGGACTACCAACAATGGGGAGTCAGGCAGGTGAGGGGTGTGGCTGGCTAGGTGGGATGTGGCTTCAGTAGAGTCAGCAGGACTGGACTGAGAAGAACGGATGCCTGCATTTGGCTGATGTTGCAGCGGTTCCCAGCCCGTCGGCTACCCTGGGCTAAGTTGCCCTTAGTTGCCCTGCATTCTGTGACATTGCAGCGAGAAGCCTTGCAGCTCCACCTCAGTCTCCTGTTTCTCCAAATAAGAACAGAGTTGTTCCTGTCACAGAACTGGAAATCTGCTCCACTGGAATATATCTCCAAGCAAGTCTTTAAGCATATAGGATGCTGCCTCATTTCCAGTCATACCTGTGGTTCATCTAGGCCAGGAGTGTCAACGCTGACAGGCAGTGGTCCTCCAGCAGGGCAGGGGGGAGTCTAAGCCAAGCCTACCTGGAGAGGCTGGGACAGAGGCTGGACGTGCAATGCAACTGCTCTACAGCCCCTTCGCCAAATGAATGCAGTGTAAGAGCCACTCACCTTGAGAAACGCACATCCCTGCAGATGCTTTAGACCAGGGTGGGCCGTACACAACCTGTGGGGCATATGTGGCCCCCAGAACTCCTACAGTTATGCCCCCCATACAGCAAATTACCTGCAGCACCATGGAATGCCCCAGAGTTCAAATTAGTTTGTGGCATGGAGCTCCGCAGCAGCTGCGGGTGCCGTTTTGTTCCTCAGAACAAAAGGATGATGATGAGTATTTTCTGAGTTAGTGGCATCCTGGTGAAATGAGGTAAAAGCTGCCCTGAACTTCCCGAAGTTGCCCATCCTTGCTTCAGCCGGCTCGACAAATTCCACATTAGATAATTTCTGTGTAAATTAAGATATGTGTGGGGGGTCATGTCCTGTTTTTGTAAAATCACTGTGTGCGTCCAGCATAGATCAACATTCCCCCAACTAGCTGAGGGTGGACTATCCACCATCCACTTACCCTTGGAGTACAGCAGCCGACCTTTAAATAAGATTTCCGAAACCCAAAAAATAAAATCTGAAAGGTACCTTTGAGGCTAGCAACTGCCTCTCCGACTTGCCGTAGGAGAAAAGCTCCGTCTTCAACATCTTTCAGTGTAACTATCCGATTAGTTGTCATAGATTCCTTCTTCAGCTCTTCAACAAAACTTTCCAGCTCACTGGAGAGGATAGAACGTGTTTTTAGATAGGTAACATCATAGGCAAGATCTATTCTCAGCTCTTTCAATGCTTTCATAGTTTTCAGATAAATAGGATCCATTTCCCCCCAACTTATTACAGTCTGGCTTTATGCTCTAATTGTGTAAATAAGTCAGAGAATAAATGGCACAATTCTCCACAGGTTTACTCAAAATTCCCCTGCACTACTCTCAATAGGACTCACTCCTAAGTGCTTATGTTTCAGCCTAAGAGATATTTACCAACTGTGCAAATGGGCTACAATGTACCACAACTGCACTGTTACTAAAGATGCAGGACTAGCACTGGAAGATGCCAAAGCCTTCGCAAACTTTCAGACAGCAACACTTCTGACCAGTCCCCAAAGGGGGCAAAGGAAACCTAGATTACTGGCTTTTAGATCCTAATCAGCTGAAAGGAGACAGTTGCAGTTAATGGAGACTGATCTAATGCAAAGACTGCAGTGGAAGCCATTCTTAATGTCAGTGAATGGAATGGTGGCCAGGAACTCCCATCGCTCAGCTGGGAAATACAACAAGAGGACACCACTCTTCCCGGATCGTCCTGTTTTTCACACTGGTTTGGGTTATCAGGTGATGTTCTGGGTCATTCATTTCCTAGTAGACACATTCTCAGCCAGGATAAACGGCATGTGAGAATTTAGGAAAATCAGCTCAAAATTGAGACTTTTACGTGCAACTCTGGGCAGGTGCAGCCAACATTTGATCTCTTAAGTACCAGCTGATCTCGCTCTTCTGCACTTCAGATATGAAGGTGAGACTCAGAGAAGATTGGAGAGGATGGGTTCTAGGTTTTTCCAGGTTAGAAAAATGGCAGCATTTGAAATCATGGAAGATGCCTCCTCTTATTTTCCAAACTATATTTCCAGATGCTAATCGAGACACTGAAAAGAACATTTAAGGAACGTAATAGCTGTGCAACCAGATCTAATTTTAAACCATAGAAGAGCAGACCAACCATTAGACTAGAAAATGTCAAATATGACAAAATGAGAGCACTCTGCTCTTAAAGGCAGCCTAAAAATCATTTTAAATGAATACATAAATGAGTTAGAGGCATGATTCATATATTTGATGTGTTGCCTGCTTCATCTTAGCTGATCAGAGAAGACATGTGCAAGCAAAGTGTTAGTTGAAGAAACTAAGAAATTGATCTGTCCGGGGAACAGAAAGTAGCAGAAGCCAAAACAGAGAACAGGATCTCTGTAGGGACTATGCGGCTAAGTGGAAAAGATCACACATTGCATGCAGAAGACTGCAAGTTCAATCCCCAGCAACTCTAGGTAGGGCTGGACAAAATCTTTCCAGGAACTCCGGAGAGCTGCTGTTTCTGGACCAAGGGTTGGAAACCGCATGCAGCCTCTTTCTGTTTCCTGGACTCTCAGAAACAGTCAGCAGAGGGCAGTGAATGAGCAGCATTCTCTGCTCTTCCAGAGAAAAGAATTCAGCATCATTACACATTTGCAATACAGGACAGAACTCCAGGTTACACATATCTGCATGCAAGCTGGTGTCTAAATCCTAACAGCTTCTTCAGGGAAAAGGAGACACTAGCAGGGCCTACTGTGTCGAGCTTTTCATCAGGACAAACCAGCAGCCCTGCTAGATCAGACAGTCCATCCTGCTCGGCTTTCTGCTCACACAAAGGCCAACCAGCTGCCACAGGAAACTTACATGCAGGACACAAGCACAGTGTCCTGCCCCTACCCAGCCACTGCCTCTTTGCTCAACTCCTCATCTTGTGTGTGTGCATGTACATGCACACGCACACACAGAGCGAATTCACTCCCACCACTTCCCCTAAATGCTGAAAGGAAATTGCTGCCTGTAATACAGTTACAGCCATTCACACAACCAGTTCAGCCATGAAGAAGCCATTTCCCACCCTTTTACAGCACAATCCTGTGCATGTCTAAACATGAATAGGGGGAGTGTGGCTGGCTGGCTGGCTGGTGTCATGGGCCTTTTTTTCCTGTCTAAACACACATGGGATTGCACCCTTAGCTTTCTGGTGTTTCCACACTATAAGTAAATCCACATTAAACAAGTTACAAAACAGTTCTGCGGATGGAGTAGAGAAGCTCATCCAATATGCCAACTAATCAGTGCCTGTGCAACCAGCTTCTGCTGCAAATTCACAGGGCTTGTTTAGAGATTAAGCTAAAGAATAGATTTGTCGGCCAAGAAAAAGATGACCACTGGGTTTGCACTGCACGCCCATTGCTTCATAATGTTTATCTGTATGCAGTCTAAGCCGGTTTAATCCATCTGAAGTCAATGGGACCTAATTCCCTTCAATACTAGCATTTCACTTTCACTTACTTGATTTCTTTGAGATAGACCCACATTGATTACACTTTGGTCCTGAAGTGGGTTCATGCAATAGTTTAATTGCCTTGTACTTATTTATTTTCCGATTTATATCCTGCCTTTTTCCTACAAAGGGCTCAAGGCAGCTTACATCTCCTCCTCCATCTTATCCCCACAACAACAACCCTGTGAGGTAGGTTGGGCTGAGAGTCTGTGACTGGTCCAAAGTCACCCAGTTGGCTCCATGGCCGAGCGGGGACTTGAACCCCGGTCACCTGAGTCCCAGTCCCGTGCTCTTAACCACCACACCACACTGGCTCTAGTTCAGAGAGAGCACTAGTACTAGTACTAGTTCAGAGAGAGCACACACTATACCTAGAGAATTTAGCATTCTCTGGCAGAAAAATACAACAGACCTGGAGCAGCACAAAACTGAGGTCTATGCAAAATATGTTAAAACAATCATAATCACATAAAATAGCTGACTGGCCTTGGGAGCCCACCCTTGAAAAAATCTGCAAGGAATGGAGCGTACCGGAGCTGTACCTGCCAGTCACATGCAAGGAACATGGATGGCATCTCTCCAACTTACTGCACCGTTAGACTTCAGCTAGAAAACGGTACCTAGTTTTGGTCATCGCCAGCACTGTTACTGGCTGCTCTCTATGATGTGTTGAGCACCAGCCCAGAGGCATTTTAAAGAACACAGAGCACAGGCAATGAAAAGTTACATTATGTATTATATTACTAACATTTATATACACACTTATTTGCATAAAAAGCCATAATGGTACTGTGCAACTGTTTAATGATGGTAAATTAAATGGTGGCGAGTTGCTCAGAAGAAGGGAAGGAAAGGCAGGGATGCTTCCTGTGTTATCTTTTCAGGCAGGGAGGAGCCAAACCTTTCCCCGGCTGCAGGCCCAATTAAACTTCGGAGATGCTCTCAGGAACTGCCTTCCAGTGATGGGCATAGCTGAAGGAATGCGGGTGTAAAGTACCAGCTTATTTTTGCTCAAAGGTCCTGTGTTCAGTAACTAAACCAATGTTAGGGAAAGATTTCAGCCCTTTAGAATGGGAAAAAGAAGTGCAAAAGCTGGGAAGCAACCCACAGTTGGGTGGAAGGGGCACAGTCATATGGAAGACTCTGGAAGGTTGGATTGAGAGCCAGGGCAGGCCAAACATGGCCTTTAGGGCTGAGGTTGCACAACCCCTGCCTCACACCTGTGTGCCAGGAGGGGTAGCGGGGCAGCAAGCAAGCCTCTCTATGTGCCTTTGACCACGACAATCAGAAGCTGCAGCAGAAGCATCCCAGAAGCCGGGGTTGCATAGCTCTGCACAATGCCAGCAGCAGGCACGGAAAACTGCCTATCCTAGGGAAACTTGCAACTGGAAAGCTCCTGCTGCAGAGATCTGGGCATGAGGCAGAGGCCTCTGGAGAGACTGTGCCAGGCCCATGTCCCAGGAAGGGAGCAGGGAGGAAGGCTGGACAAGCATGGCAGGGCTGAAGCTTAATGGAACCAGGCCAGAATTTAGGGAGTTGTTCTTTGAAATGGTCCCTATTCTATACTCATTCCTTGTAGCAGATATATAGGCAAATCTGCAAATTTTAAACAATTGATTAAACTAATACGATTATCGACTATGTTTTCTCTCAAAGACAACCATATTATTATTATATTTATACCAGCTGTTCCCCCTTTTGTAAGGGAGCCAAGGCCATTTACACTGCTCTCTTCCTCTCCCCTTTTGCCTCACAGCAACACCCCCAAGAGGTAGGATAGGCTGAGTGTCAGTGACTGGCCCAAAGTCACCCAGTGAGCTTCATGCCAAAGAGGGGACTAGAACCCAGATTTTCTGAGTCCCAGTCCAACACTCTAACCCTTGTACTATTCTAGATTTTAAATGAATGCCCCAATATAGAGTGTTCTAAATCACAAAAGAGGCAGAGAAATGTATTGGCCAGATTTACACAAGAGGCTGGATACTTTGGAGGAAATCATAGGCAGCTGGCAACCCCCATGACATCTGAGCCTCCTCTGGAATAAAGGGTATGTTGTTATTTACAGGGCCTAGATGATAGTAAATAGCAACACAGCACTATATCTGAAGGACTATGATTAAAAATGCCAGCAAGGAACTGATCATAAAATTCATCCTTGAAATAAAGACCCCATTCTGCAGATACAGCGATCTGTAAATTAGGAAAAGTAATAACAGCAGTTAATTTCCTAATGAGTAATTAACATAACACACATGCGGAGAAAGAATTATTTGGATAAGGTATTGATTTTGTTGCAGTCTAATCAATAAAAATATCTATCACCTCCTCTGAAAAGTAGTTGAAGCATCTGGCCAAGTCAAAAACAGATCAATTAATATATCAGGAACTCTTTTGTTGCAGATCCTTGGTTGCCTGTAGCCAAAACCATTTTATGCAGAAAGGAATTCCACTTAAGTCAATGGAACTTAAATGCAAATGAACATGTCCAGGTTTTTAATTTTCATTACACTTTTATCCCACCCTTTCTCCAAGCAGCCCAGACTGTGTGTGTGACCGGTGAAGACCAGCAACTTGTCCAACTTCATAGATGGGCAGATATTTCTGAATCTGCTTTTCCCACACTGAAAGCATTTCTGGAGCCAATACAACTCACTAATTCATCTCCTATTAAATGCCAAAAAGGATGCAGGCTTATGACCTGTACCTAACCACATGTCACAAAAATAAATGAAAGCATGCAGAGATCAAAATCTGCTGCAAAACATTTTGCCAAAAGGTGTGCTGGTTGTGCAAGTGCTCATTTGCAGGCACACATTTGGCAGCGGAGCATCATTTAGTGGCATATGCTGTTCTTTTCTGCAGGCCTGCAGTAGGTAATTGTAGAGGGACAGCAGGAGCCTCTGCATTATGGTGGAGGGACTGCAATGGCTTGTTCCTAAATCAGTGCACACCGAGGGCTTCAGCCTAGGAAGAGTTTAAGGGTAAATTTTAAATCTTAAACATCTAAATTCATGCTTAGAAAGAAAAAGTACTACAAGGCCCAGGGTGCTGGCTGGGACATGTTGGGAGTTGTAGGCTATTTTTATGTCTAAACAGGCATAGGACTGTGGTCTAAAGGACATATATTTGACTCTTGCAAATTTAATGTAACTAAAACAGTTCCATTCACATCTCTGGCCAAGTAGTACAGCTCCATAGAGAGGGCAGGTAGGAGAGGGAGGGAGAGAGGGAGAGCGCGAGCACAAGCAAGCACGTGCTGGTAGGAGAAAACCAGATATGTTTGCTGGGAATCGTTTGCTTTATGTTTTGCACAACCTTCTAAAGAGGGCCCTCAAACCGGAGTAATGAGAAAAGGTTGATTTTTTGCTGCAGAACCATTAGAGCAGCAGCAACCTCTCAGCCATTCATTCTTCCAGACCCCCCGGGAACTGACTTTCTCTGGAGGACAGCACTGTCCATCCAGCCTGTACTGCAACCCTGAACTGGCCTGCTGCCCTTGGTGGCAGAGGAGGATGCTGCCTGTTGCGGTAAATATTTCATTGCAATGCCGACTCATTGCAATGGAATGAAATAAAAGGCAACATCTTCTCCTTTGTTCCAAGCAGCAAAATGCCTTGCCATAACCATTTTTAGCTTTCCCCATCAGTAGTTCTGGAACTGGGGGCAGAATTAGAAGCCTGCTGCCCACTGGAACAGTGCTGGATGAAATTCTGGGCTTTTATAAACTTTTATAACCTGTGAAGCCATCTTTTTGAAACCAACCTATTTGAAGAATAAGGTGCGGGCAGGGAGTGTGTGGCCTGTGGGCACATCATGACCCCAAATGGCTTCCTTGGTGTCCTACTTTAAAAAAAATGCATGCCTGCTCTTCCTGCCAACTGGTACAGCTTCAAAGCAGAATGAAGGCTGCAGCTGCTGCCATGCTTTTTCCCATGAAAACCTCCAGGCCACACAGGGGGCTCAGAGGCTTTCAGGTTCAGGACATGCTTTCTCGGCTGGGTGCCAGGCATCAAGAAGAAGGAGGGAACATGCCCCCCCCACATGGCAGCTGCTTTGTGGGGCTCCCAGGACAATCCCGCCCACTGCCAGATGTGCCCACAGCCCAAAGTGTGGGCCTCCCCAGTTTAGGAAGAGAGTTTTGCACCCACCATAAGCTCTTCACGATCCTTTCCTCTTCATGGAGGTATTTCTGCCTTTCCTGCTCCACCAGGTGGCGCTGCCGTTGCACGGGATCTTCAAGCCTCTTGGCTCTTTCACTCACTCTGTCGCTGATTTCCAGCTCCGCTTTCTTCACCATGGCCCTCAGCACCTCCTGGTTCTGCAGCTGTGACACAAAAGAAGCCACTTCAGTTCTCTCAGCCTGTCCCCTTGTATCCGAAGACACTGTTCCACTCAGGACTGGGTTGGGAGACGCAACTCCGCCAATGGATGCACTTTGAAAAAGAAGCAAAAGCGAAGCCTTCTCCTTCCAACTTTACAGATAAGCGGGTGTTATTTCAAGGAGAGAGGATCAGGAAAGGGGAAAGGGCACCATGGCCATCAATACAGAAACCAGTCTTCCCTCCCAGCGCCTGGCTGGGAACTGCACTCCAAGGGGAGGCTGGTATAAGCCTGCATCTAAGTTCCAGCAGGACATCGGCAATCAGGGTGTGTGCTGAGTTCACTGCATTTCAGTGTGTCAGACCACAATTTCACACTGGGCTGGAACCTTTATGGGCTCTTTAATGCAGCATTATCTGGCACAAATAAGCTGTCAGCAATGATTTTAGCAGGACGCAGCAGCTGCTCTTCCAGAAGACAGCACAAATAAATTATTCTGTTCTACAGGCATTACCTAAAATTGCTTTATTGGAAAAAATGGGGCAAAGCACATCAAATTCCAGCTGTCACCTTTAGACAGCTGGGTGGAGTCAAGGAGTGAGACTTGAGGCAGGCTGGCCAAAATATGGAGGGAAGTCAAGCAGGGCAGCAGCCCTGGGTTCTGCATCCACCTTGTCCATCAGATGTGGTGGACTACAAGTTCCATGGCCACCCATGGGAATTGTAGTACAGTGCATCTGAAGGTCACCAGGTTGGGGAAAACTGTTTTACATCCATCTGCTGGTTTCTTCCTATCTCCCTCCTGTAGTCCTAAGAGAAGAAGAGCAGCTTTGGTTTGGGTCAGACCAAAGTCCTCCCTGGTCCGGCCTTCTACGCCCACAGTGGCCACCAGGCACCTCTGGGGAGCCCACAAGCGGGACAAGAAGGGCAACTGGCCTCACACGCAGTTGTTCCCCGGCAACAGTTATTCAGAGGTATGCAGCATCTGATCCTGGCAGGGTCACATAACATATCACTGGGCTAGTGAACCCTAATCTTTGTGAGCCACCCCGAGGCTCTGTTGCAATGGGGGTGGCATAGAAATGTTTTAAATAAATAAAATAAATAAATATTCTTTGTTAATCTAATTTCCTTCTCAAGCCACCTAAGCTTTGTGCCAGAAAATTCCACAGCTGATCAATTAATGTACACCCCAGTTTTCAGCTACTCATAAGCTTGGCTCACAGAGACATTCACAACAAGACACCCACAGAATGGTATAATCAACATAAGGCTGGGGTGGGAAATCTTTTCAATCCAAGCCAAGGGCTAAATTCAATTTTGGAGAAAATCTCTGGGGCTGCATCTGTGTGGTGGGCAAGGAGCAGGGAGAAAGCCACAAGGAAAAGGGGAGGGGCAACAGTAGAGAAAAGCTCAACCAAAGTCAGGAACCTACCAAACAGTGGTTAGGGCAAAGGTGTGTGGCCAAGGGACAGGCACCTTCACCTGGGGAAACTCAAAACAGGCCCACTGACCAAGGGCAGGGCAATGGTGAGTGCTTTCCTGATTTAGTGCCCCAAAGTTGGACCAGATTCAAGGGTCCTGCTTCTATTGAGCTGTCTCTGCACACCATTTCTGACCCAGGTAACCTCGAAATAGGACACCCCGTTTCTGTGACTCCAAAAAAACTCAGGCAGGATCACTGGCTTTGGCAGCAATGTTGATCAAATGAGAGTAAGGATGGGCACATGAAAGTATCCACAGGTGGCAGCAGAAACATCTGACTGTGCTACTGACCCCCTACAGACGTGGGCAGTGATCGGTTCATCCTATCTGAACCTGGATTAAGGAATGCATTCCCATTTCTCCAGCACTGGAGGAGGTTAAACTGCTTTGACAATCCTAAGAAAAAGGTTCCCTCTTATCCAGCATCCCATTCACACTATGACATAGAAACAGAGCGAGTCAGAAGGGGTCTCCCAGGCCATCTAGTCTGATCCCCGGCTCTAGCCGGCTCCGCTCAAGACATGCACCTGCCTCTGAGAAGCCCACAAGCAGCACATAAGTGCAACAGCACCTTCCTACTTATATTCCCCAGTGACGGGCAAACATACTGTCCCTGATAACGGGGGCAGCATACAGTCACCAGACTAGGAGCCATCGGTAGTGTTCCCCTCCATGAATTGGTCTGATTGCCTTTTCAAGTGGCTGGCATGGAAAAGGAAAGCTGCAGTGACTTTGGGCTGCTGTTGAAGAGTAATGACTCTTTGGAGAAGGCTGCCCTGTCGCAGCTGGTTCTCTGTAAGACACAGAAAGAGAATCTGACTACCTATTCACTCACTGAGAGGTGCCAAGAAAGAGGCAAAGCTTCACTCAGACTCCCCCCCCCCCCAGTGTGAGCAGCACACACACTTTGGCAGAGGGCTCTCTGTGTTCTGCGTTGTGGTGCGGCAGCAGCAGATAATCAGGGAAGGTCCCCTGCCACCTCGGTTCTCCTTGCTTGCATCCTGGCTCAGGAGAAAAAAGTGGAGCTGTTCACACACCCCTGTCCACTTTCTCAATGAAACTTCCATCATTTCAAGAGCATATTCCAAAATCAGGCGGGGAATTTAGGTTATTTAGGGCCTTCCGTTCCCCCCTTAGGGGAATGCCACCTGGCCTTTACCACATGGCTGCCACTGTTCCCAATGAGCACCAACACAGCCTAGAGACCATGGGCCAGGCTTTGAGGTTTTGCTATGATGCAGCATTACAGCCCATGAGAACCTTATTTCTTGTTGAAATCAATGTGTTTGGTTTTTTAAAGCTTTTCAATATCCATGTTCCTTGAGCTGTGAATAAGGAAACTGGTGACAGATCAACCTTCCCCAACCTG